GAGTGTTTTTTTTCCCCCCTTCCAAAAAAAAAAAAAAAAAAAAGCATTATCTCAAGTTTTGAAGTAGGTTATACTGACGTGGTTTAAAATGCCTGTGTTATCCCCACACCCTCCTGGAAGTGTAAGGATATCTGCAATTTTTTTCTTAACTCCAACTGTAGACAAACTAGGCAGTAGGAGTGTGCAAAACGGGCTGTATTGGATTCAGATTTGGCCTGAATCAGGGACAGTGATTCAATTAGTTGATTCAGATCACTGTCCCAGATTTTTGGATGAAGCCAAATCCCAATCTGAAGATTCGATACGAACTTGGAGAATTAGCGCTTCAGCCATAGACACAACTTTAAGTGTTTTTTTTTCTATTTACCTAGAAGTAGCAGCGCAGCTTGTGAACGGTGCGATGCTGGGGTGCATGGAGTGTCCCACAGAGTACAGGGGGGCCCCCCCCATGCTCGGCAGCACACCCAGAAGTGGACTGGAAGTACTTCCGGTCCACTTCCAGGACTACCGCCGAGCATGTGGAGGTACCCCCATGCCCTCCCAGCTCTGCGATTTGGCTGTGGGGGGACCCCAGGTACCCCCCCCCCGACCTAAGACGCACCAGTCGCTGTGCCATGGGAGTGCAGGGGGGCGCCCCCAGCGTGCTTCTCAGTGGACCCAGAAGTGGACCAAAAGTGTTGCCGAGCGCGCTGTGGAGCCCCCCACACTCCTGTGGGATGCTCTATCCCAGCATCACAGCATTCATGAGCCACCTGAGGTATGTAGAAAAAACATTTACAGCTGTGTCTATATCAAAATCGCTGAATCTCTCTGAATTGATTCGGAGAGTTCTGATTCGATTCAGATTTGGAGTTTCGGTCACTAAATCGGGCTGAATCTCCGCCGAATTGAATCGGGGACTGAAGCTTTGCGCAGCCTTATTAGGGAGCATTCCTTTATTGCTTGATCATGCTGAATTGACTAGAATTTCTTGTCTTGGCAGTTTTAGTGCTAAAATGTCATTGATGTACTTATGGGAGGAGTCTGGGATGTTGGCAGGAAGAGAGTTACCACCACTAACAAAGTGCTGTAATAACCTGAAGTCCCAAACTGATATTCAGAGAGACTCCAATGACATTTTGGGGCTTTTAGCCTGCTTCCAGTAGTTAAAAATAATGACAAAAATTGGGGCTCACCTAGCTGCAGTGTATGGGGAGAGCTTTCCAAAGAGGCCAAGAGAAGAAGCAACTCTCTCTTGTCACTAAACAGTAGTCTCAGAAGACAGTTTTTTTTTGTGGGAAAATACGTAGTGATATTTGTGAGTTGACAGAATCACTTAAAGAAACCAAACTAAACAAAATAAAGGAACCAAAAGTTTCCAAAAATAATATAAATTGTCGTTTTTCTTTAGAGAGTTTAAAACTGAAGATGGCAAAGCAGTAATCCCCCTGGGGATAACAGTGCAAGGAGATGTTCTCATTGTGATCTATCATGCCAGGTCAACCTTAGGAGGCAGACTCCAAGCAAAGGTAATGATAAACTTAATCATGTCATGTGCTAGCTTTTCATGTTACAGATAGGTTGTTGCTATGGTCTCTGTCTGTCCTAACTGTTAAACACTTAATGATTATTAAACTTCAAGTTAAATTGTTTAATTAATTTGATCCTTCCTTCCTTGTGACCTCATCTCCCTTCCCCCTCCTCCCCAACACACACACACACACACACACACACACACACACACACACACACGTCTTGTGCAAGGCAATTCATCAAGGTAACTGCACAAGGCAACTCTTGGACAGGGGCCTGTCAAGGGATGTACAGTTTAGAAGGAATTTCATTAAGTAGGCATTTCAACAGCAGATCATTATCCCTGGTATTGTTGCTGGGAGCCCTTCCACCTAGTTTTTCCATGCAGTTTTACCATAACTTTTTATTTTAGAAGTACATGTTTAACAGAGGTCTTTATCTTACTCCTCCTCCCCTTCCCACAAAATAAATTCACCAACTTTTCACTATTTTTTTCATGTCTAAGATACATTAGACTACTCTTAGTGCATCAAATTATCAGGAATAAATCCCTAAAATAGTATCTTTAACAATGCCTGTCTAACACTGGCTAACTAAGAGAGAGATTACAGGTCTGTAAAGTATTATCATGCCTTCAGAAACTCAATTTATTTTTCCAAGACTTTCACTGTCGTACTTTGCTCTTTTTTTGGTTGAAAGGGAGAAACACTTTTGTGAGCTATGAAAGCCAAGTTTGTTAGGACTTTGTCACGGGTTCATAAGATCTTTCTTTGCTGCTGCATAACCAGAGTAAGGTCTAGACAACAGAGAGCGAGGGAGATCTCTAAAATATAATGAAGTGTATTAACATGAAGTGTAACTTTTGGAATGCTTATTTACGAGATAGCAAGAATTAATGATGAAGAGCTTTGAACCACTAGTTTGGCAGGCAAATAGAGGATAAAAGCCTGGGAGAGGTTAACTTTCCAAAGTTGTTGTTATTGTTTTACTCTAGTGTATGCTTAGTTCAGTACCTGTGAAGTTTCTCTTTCTGGTTTCTTAGGTGTGGAATAGAATTCTTGCTTAGATGATAGTTTCAGAAAGAGAAAATATATAAGCCAAGCTTGGTTTTATATGCCTCACTTAGAGATAATTTCTTGCCAATTACCAGAGCATTAGAAAACTAAAAAGTTAGCCTTCTGGGGAAGGGATGAGAATCAGATATTAGGTTAATGACTGATACCTTTCCCTGTGTTTACACAAAACGTTTTCCATGTGTTCATGGAACATAAGTGTTTTTCCAACCTAATCCAACCCCAAGCCAAGGCATGTTTGGATGTCAAATCTGAATCCCTTGTCTTAAATAACAGACCTAGATTTATTTCAGTAACTTAATCAGACACCTCTACATAACACCTAATGTACTTTGCAAGAAAATTTAGAGTCATAGGAAAGTAGGGCTGGAAGGTTCATCTAGTCCTAGCCCTCTGCTCAAAGCATAATTGTCCCCAGCTTAGTGTCTGCCTAGCCTGCTCTTGAAAATGTTCAGGGGTAGAAGGTTCACAGCTTCTTTAGGTAGTGTGTTTGTGCTTGACCACCCTTTTATAGTCAGAAAGTTCCTTCTAATCTCCAATCTTAATGTCCTCTGCTGCAGCTTGAGACCACTGCTCCTGGTTCTATCACCTATGGCCAAAGAGAAGTCTCTCTAAATCTTATTTGTAACCTCCCTTCAGGTATTTGAAAACTATCAAATCCCCCCTCCCCCCCCAGTCTTCTCTTCTACAGACTACTGAAAAACTCATGTTCTTTCAGCCCATCATAAGTCAAGTTTTTCAGGCCTCTACTCATTTTTGTCACTGCTAGACTCTTTCCAATCTGTCCACCTCCTTCCTGAAGTGTGGTGATCAGAACTGGACATACTACTCCAGCTGAGGCCTCACCAGTGACAAATGAAGTGGAAGAATCACTTCCCTTGATTTGCAGGTGATGTTCCTGTTAATATAGCTCAGCATGCTATTGGCTTTTATTGCAACAAGCATGGAATGTTGTCTCATTCAGTTTATGGACTACTATAATTCCCAGGTCCTCTGCAATTCTGCAGCTTGGCCAGTCATTCTTCAGTCTGCATTTGTGTATGCAGTTATGTCCCAAGGGCAGGACTTTGCACTTGTCCTTGTTGCTTTTCATCTGGTTGATTTGAGGACCACTTCTCCAGGCTATCCATGTAATTTTGGATCCTAGCCCTACCCTCCAGTGTCTGCAACTCCACAAAATTTGCAGACAGCAAGTTCAGTGAAGTGTACATTTAATCCCATTATCCATATAATTGATGAAGGTGATGAATAATACTGGACTCAGGGCAGACCCGTGGGGACTCTCCCTTGATGCCACCGATGACTACTTGTTGAACATAATGCTCCAACCAATTATGTATGCACTTTACAGTATTTTAGTCTGTATTTTCTTATCTTATTCCTGAGATTTGTTGTGGAAAAGGTGTCAAAAGCCTTGCTAAAGTCAAAGTATTACATCTACTTCTCTGCCCCATCCACAGATCCCATCAACTTTCCGTCACAGAAAGATATCAGGTTGGTCAGGCATAACTTGCTGTCAGTGAATTCATACTGACTGTTCCTGATTACCGTGTTCCCCTCTAAGCGTTACCCAATTTTTTAAAATTTATTATTTTTTGGTGTGAACCTGCTTCATGTTCTTTCTAGGTATTGAGGTCAGGCTGACTAGCATGAAGGATCCCTCCTTCTTCCCTTTCTTAAACATGGGTGCTATATTTGGCCTTTTCCAATAATCCAGGACTTCACCCAACTTCCATGAGTTCTCAAAGAGGATAGCCAGTGGCTCAGCAGTTATATTAACCAATTCCTTCAGTACCCTTGGCTACATCCCATATGACCCTTCCAATTTGAACATATCTAGTTTCTCTAAGTAGTCCTTAACCTATTCTGCCTCTATTCTAGACTGTTTGACTCCTTCCTTGTCTTTGCTGCCAACTGTACTCATCTTTTAGTAGCTACTTTTATTCGTGAAAACGGAAGTAAAAAAAAGGCATTAAATGGTTCAGCACTTTCTGCATCATGCATAATAGATTGCCTTCTCCATTCCATAAGGAACCTATGGCTTGGCTTGTTTGGTATTACTCTTACTCTTTACGTATGTGCGGGCCGGGAGCGATCTGGGCCCTTTTTCGTGCCGCGCGGGCTGTGGCCAGCAGCCCGGGCATGCTGGGTCGGAGAAAGCAGGCGACACACTAGAATTAGGCACGGGTGCGTAATGGTTGATTCAAGATTGTTTACTTGCACTGAAGATGGTCGCGGTGTAGGCTGGACAGTTTCCCAGGCAAAGTTCCGCTTAAATCCTCGTTTGAGGACTCCGACAGTACTCAGATCACTCCCACGGAGCTGTCGAAGCTCCGTGGATCCTTTTTGCACGCAGGGAAGAGGGATACGTTGAGGATTGCGCTCGGCGACGGGGAGAGGCTAGAGGCTGATCAGACCCCTGTTGCCTGCTTGAAATACGCTGGGTCCAATAGGCTCCGCAGCGCTTAGAGATCTTCACAAGGCGTGAAGTCTCCTCCTCCTGGTGTTCGTGGAGTCCTCCAGCTTGGGCGGAAACCACTCAAGCCTTTTATACGGCTAGCAAGCCAATCGCTAGCTGCCACGCGTGAATAATTTAACGCAAGCCAATAATGGGGCTCGAATTAGAATACAAATGGCGGGAACTCCTTGCAACGTGCATTTCTTAGCTGCAAAGAATAAATGCACACTGCAAAGAAAGCTACAAATTGGCGGGAAAATAATTCAGTGGTGCCAAAGCGCACACAAAACAAAAATCACACCCTTGGGTTGTGACAGCGTACTTGCAGAATCCCTTTTTATTGCCTTTTAATGTCCTTGGCAAGTTAGAACACAAGAACTCAAATCATGCCTTGGCCATCCTAACTTTTCCCTGTATGCAGTGTAATTATTTTTTTTTTAATTATTTTTTTTAATTATTTTTTTTATTACTCTCTCTTAATAATATTGCTGAGTTTTTTTTTTTTTGTTTTTGTTTTTGTTTTTTTGTTTTTTTTTGGTAGGATTTCTTTTTCTGAAGACCAGCCTGGTCTGCTACATTTCTCATTCTTCCATTACACTTTAGTAACTTCTTCCTGCACCTGTAACATGACCTCCTTAAAGTACAGGCTAATTCAGGCTAATTTTTCTAGCATGCATAAAGTATCACTAACCTGGACAGTGGATTGTTTTAACGATCTTCTCTGGTAACTACTAGAAATCACAGCTATATAGTTTTAATTCAGCTCATTTAGGGAGGAAACTGCATAATTAGAAATACTGAGCTTTGGCTAACTTTTGTTCTCCATCTAGTTGTTGGCAATCCTATTAAGTTTTTCTACAATTTTAAAACAGCATATATTTTCTTGAATTTTTAATCCTGCATTGTATTTGGTTAGTGAAAAATTATGGCAACTAATCCCCACCTCCAAATGAACCAAAAAAATCCAGTTGGTATGTCAATATAGAATTTTAGGGCACTTCTACATATACTCCTACTAGAGGTGCACCGATACATTGGTTCGTTATCAGATCGGTACTGATATAAAGAAAATTGGCTGCATCGGAAATCAGCCCGATGCAGCTGATAATTTGGCCAATAAATGCTCACGCATGTGCTGCTGCAGTGCAGTACTCAGGCAGCAAGGCACAGAGCCCAGTAGTGTGGAGAGCTGCATGCAGCTAGTAAGTCCATTGTGGTGGAAGGGGAGGGGGGAGAGAAAAGATGTGGGGAGGAGCAGATCAATGCCCCCTACGGTGAGGGAGGGGGCAGGGGCAGGTGCTGCCCAGCTGGAGCGGGGCAGGGTGCGGGACAGCTATGGCTTGTGGGGGGGAGGGGGGCTTCTGTCACTGCTTGCACCCTGGGAAGGCATGGGGGAACATGTGCCACCAGATCTGGGCAGGCAGGCTGGAGTCAGGGCTGCGCCAAGCTCTTTTTAGTGAGGGCTGGGCTGGGGTGGGGGCTACCAAGGGGGCTGCAGCCACCCCAAATTTTGTTGCATCTCTGCTTCCAGCGTTGATGCTGCCCACCTGGCACAGCCTGAGCTCAACACCCCGCTTCCACCTGTGCACCAAGAAGAGCCGGGACTGTGCCAGGTGGGTGGTGTTGGCCCTGGGAACAGGGCTATGGCAAAATTTTGGAGTGGCTGCAACCCTGGCTCCAGCCCGCAGCTGCAGGCCGTCCGCCCCACCCAGCACAGATTTGGGGGCACATGCCCCTCCATGCCCTTTCAGAGTGCAAGCAGTGGTGGGAACCGTTCCCCCCAGGAATCATGGTTCTGTCCCATGCCTGCCCCTTCCCCCTCCGTCACTGCAGGTGGCATTGATCTGCACCCCACTCCCCGTTCCCCTCCCCTTCCACCACAACTGACTTACCAGCTGCATGCAGCTGTGTCAGAAATCAGATCGGTATTGGCTGATATGCCTCCTTAAAAATCAGCTATCGTTATTGGCCCCCCAAAATCTCTATCGGTGCACCCCTAGCTGCTACATATTCTGATTAGTATGCATTGGAACAGACTCAATCAGTCTACTTGGAATGTTCCAGCATGCTGCAGCATCTCATGTATTCAGCATCCCCACATTTCAAAATGGCGGTGGGGGCATTTTAAAGCTCATTGAACAAGCTTTAGTTAAAGCATCCCTACTGCCACTTTGAAACACAGAACACTGAATACACCAGAGGCTGCAGGCATTTTAATTAGAGCAGCTCCTGATAGCTGCTCTAATTAAAATGCTCCCCCTCTTCTCCCCCCTGAAGCATATGTATAGGTCCCCTTATTCAGGCCTCCAACATGGGTGCAAATGCTGTTGTAGTAAAAATATACTTTTGAGGGGAAAAAAAATACAAGTTTGTCAGTTAATGTTAAGTACTCCTGTTTTTAAATTATGATTTTTTTTTTTTTATCTCTTATCCAAAGGGGTAAATTGCTGTTTCATTTCCCAGGCACTATTCTGGTTATATGCAGAGTAAATATTGCTGTCACTTGGTCCAAATGTCCAAGTTAGTCCTATTTGAAGCCTAGGGAGTTATTTTGGTGTAATTCCATATAGTAACAGAGCAAGCTTGCTGGCTGATCCTAGACACCTTGATGGAGTAGACCTTAGTGCTGCTAGTGTGTGCCATTCTAAGCACTAAGGGTATAGACTAGGGGTGGGCAGTTTATTTTGGGCAGAGGGCCTCTTAACAAGTTTTGGCAAGCTGGGTAGCTCTGCCCCTTGACAGGTGCCCTGCCCCCTGGTGGCCATCTTGGGACTGGAAGTCCTGCCCCCTAACCCCAACCTTTTGCTACCAGAAGTCCCTCCCCTTTCCCCCAAAAGTACTCCTTTCAGCAAGGGGTTTTGCCGTCTCGGAACCAGAAAATACCAAAAGATACTCTAAAAAGCAAACATTTAAAACATTCATTAATTTGATTTAAAAAATATTTTTGTACTGGTTTACATATGTTTCTGTAGCATACATAGAGGTGATTGTATATAATACCTTACAATGAAGTCTTACTCTTGTATGTTCTGGGGAGCCTGTGGGTATGTTGGGTGTGGGTGTGTCTGTTGTGGGGGGGTGGATAGGTGTGAGAGGTGTGGGGGGAGAGAATATATGGGGAGGGGGTGGCTATGTGGGGGATGTGGGTGGTTGGGGTGGCTGGTGTATATGTGTGGGTATGGGGGTCTGCATGTATGGCTGTGCAAGGTGGGGAGGTGATGTATGTGTATGGTGGGGGGTGTGTGTGTGTGTGTGTGTGTGTGTGTGTGTGGGACACCTCTCTCCACAGGAGATGCAGCCAGGAGCCACACGGTGCTGGAGCAGTGTGAGGGCAGGGAAATAGCTGGGGACAGGGCTGGGCTCCTGCTTCCTGTTGCTAGGTCCTACTGCTCCTGGCTCCTGTCATCTTTGACAGGCAGCCAGGAGCAGATAAATATTTTTCTAAACTTTTTATAGGTCCTGTGGGCTGGATAGAATGGCCTGGTGGGATTGTATTTTGCCCACCTCGATATAGACAGACCTTAATGATTGTAAATATATTGATGGATACTAATATAAGCTATCTGACCACTCTTGTCTGCATGATTCTATAGTAAAAATGTTCCCACTTGAACCCCGATTCATTCAGGGGTTTTTAGGGTGATTTAGCTAACTGGTGCTGCTACAGGATCATGCAGACGTAACAGATTATAATGTTCTCTGTTCTCCCAACCAGCAGTTCTCCCTCTTTTTTAAAGCAGCTGAAAAGTACATTTGTCCATACCCTATTGTTATATCACTCTTCATTACAGAGGTTGAGTTGTCTGCTCCCCATAGATGCACTGCAGTTTAAGCCTCTGTGCATCAGACTTGTCAAATCACTGCTGTTGGCAGCATACGCTACAAGAAGCTGTACTGACATCTTTTCTGCATTTCTGTGGTAGCAACTTCTGAAGTCTATGCTATGCCAACTGGGCATGGAAAAGTAAAGCAGAAGAAAGAGTTGTAAAAATTGGACAGACAGATGGATTGGTTTAAAACCACTATTATGTTGGCCAGTATGACATGACCAAGAAAAAGATTGCAGAGGAAGCAGATAGAACCCCTTGCATGCTACATGCATGGCGCACAAACTGGAGTGTGGGAGAGTTTTTTCTTTCCCGGTCATCCTTGTTGAATGCTAGAGCTGTGGCAGTCTTACCTTTTTATGAGGATAAAACAAACTGTCTAGCTCTGTTTAGTCCGTTCTTCCTCAGCACTAGCAACAGTTTTCTCAAGTGTTTAATATTCTGGTAAATGCTTTGACACATCTTGGGATTGTACCCTTTAAAATTGGGTCTGAGAGCTCCAACAGCTCTTGATCAAGTTGTTCCCTATTTATACTACCACAAATGAGATCAGAATCAAGTCCTGTACATATCTGTTATATCCTCAAAGATACTTTATTTGAAATATAAAAATGGTCCAATTCTCTCCCCATCTGCACCTGTCAACCCAGGAAAAAGTTAAAATGAAAGTGAAATGGGCATTGTTCAATATGTAGAAGGTCTACTAAAAATAATGTAAAATACTTTACTGTGCTTTAAGCCACTTATTTTCCTGTATTTTTTTCTGCTGTAGATGGCTTCAATGAAGATGTTCCAGATTCAGTTCCATACAGGTTTTGTGCCCCGAAATGCCACCACAGTGAAATTTGCTAAGTATGTTGATGCTCTGTTGAACAAAACTAGCAAAAGTTTTGCTTTCAGATTTACTTAATGTGCCAAACACCAGATTTAGATAGTGAAGGGACACGTTTGATTAAAGTAGGAAATGAATAGCATTCATTTTAACAAAATGAGTTCAACCTTTGTGCTTTGTTTGAATTAACACTTCTTGATAATGTTGTGTTTTTCCCCTTTTAATAACCTGTGAAATGTCTTCGAACAAAATACCCCTTTAAAATTAGGAGGAAGAAAAACATGAGTGCAATTGGACTTCAGCTTTACCAATCAATCCCACAGAACTGCTAGTTACTTGAAATGTTTTTTTGAAGGCAATGGGATTAAACAGACTGATTGATTGATTAATTGCTTTGAAAGTTCTTTAACTTACATTTGCAGGCAAGGTACTTTGAGTAGATGTGATATCTTTTATTGACCAACTGAGTAGTTGAAAAAAAGTTCTTGGCAAGCTTTTGGACACAATTGCCCTTCTTCAGGCATAAGGAGTCTCTGCTGGTCTGAGACTCCAAGGAAAGAGGAGCTAAAAGTGGGTTAGGAAACCCAGTTAACCTACATTTGTTTTACAGGTATGATTTGGATGCTTGTGACATTCAAGAGAAATACCCTGACTTATTTCAAGTAAATCTGGAAGTGGAGGTGGAGCCTAAGGACAGACCTAGTAGTGAACGAGCACCATGGGATAACTTGAACATAAAGGGACTCAATCCAAAGATCCTTTTCTCCAGCCGGGAGGAACAACAAGAGATTTTATCGAAATTTGGTAAAGTGTACCTCTAAGCTATCCCTTGCTAATCATAGGAAAAACTTCCTTTCCCTCTACTAATTGGCTGAGCTTTTTCCTTTTTTATCGCTTCACTTTAATGGATTCTAGCATTTTACATAAATGGCCCCTTTTTACTCATGTTATATTTATCAAGACCTTCTTTAGTTTAGGAGTGTCATGCTTAATTTTTCTTTCTTCTAATTCAGTTAATTTCCATTGCTGTCCAAGGTATCTCTCTAAATTTTTATTCTTTGCTTTGTTCCCTAATTTTCTTGTTCCTGACGTTTGCAGGAGCTCTGTCCAGTATGGTCTATCTATACTTTCTTTTTGTGTGCTGTTTTTTTTGTTTCTTAATTTATTTCATACTTCCATCAGATGATCTTTTGAGGTCCCTTGCAGCCCTTAATTTCTATGATTTGTAACTAGAGCCTTGCCAGTATTGCAGTTATAACAAAGCCAAATCCTCTAACATGGCTTTATTTGTAGTGTAGGCATTTTTTTGAAGCTTTTTTTTCTTTTTAAAGAATTCTACATCTGCCTTTTTTTCACGTTCATGCTCAATCAAGAAGGTCACTTCTGCCCTTTTCATTTCTCTTCTTAGATGGGCATATTTTTGCTATGCTTGTGTGAGATTTTAATCCTTGTTGCTACGTCCTACATTTTATATTGAACTCTAGTTATTGCCTTAAGTTTTTACTAATGTAACTTAGGGTCAAACTGAGTTTTGCAGATGTGTTTCCCAATATGTGTCAGTTGGAGCATAAAATACTTAACTTAATCCCCAGGATGAACCCAGTTTTTTACCGATTTAGGGAAGAAATGGCCATACTTTAAACTGAGTTCCATTCCTACTCCTCCAGTTGGTGTAGAGTCCTTGTTTTTATGTGAGGCTGTGTACCTGCTGTTAAGCCCATTCCAACTACTTTTATAAAATACCCTTTAGTTCAGTGTTTGCCATTAGTCAGTGAGACACCTGGAAGACAGCATCTCCAGCTGTCTTGGTACAGTGTTGTTGCTTATCTCCTTCGTGGATGGTGATTCTCAGTAGTACCTTCTTTATGCTCTAACAAACTAACAGGCAACTAACAAATCTTTATCCTGTGATGTATTTTTTTTGGCTGTTGTATTATGGAAGGAGGAACACTGAGTGAATGAATTGTGCTTTGTACCCTGAGTAAGTTAAATTTCCTTACTGTTTTTAATCTATTCAGTATAGTACCAGTATGCCTTTAATAACTAACTAATAACTTAAAACGAAAAAGAAATTGACTTTAAGCTGGCTTAAATCAATTTTAAATATAAACCAAGACACAACTCTATGGGAATAAGTTTGATCTCTTACTTAAATTTTATTTCTTGATTGCTATGGAGGCTATTCCTGTGAGGAATTGTTCTTTAGAGGCAAACAGTTACTTCATAGATGCTTGAGTCCATTGCCAAATATTGCATGCAAAGTTTGTCACGGTCTAAGCTAATTTGATGTTGGCGGTCTGTCTGAGATTCTTGGCTTGAAATTCCACCTAATAGGTAAACCTGAGCTACCTAGACAACCAGGTTCAACAGCACAATATGAAGCAGAAGTATCCAAATTGGAACAATCTTCAGAAAACATATCTACGGAGCCAGACTCTTCACACAGCAGCAGCACTGAGACAAATAACTTCTTCCACACTTTGGACTGGCAAGGTAGTTAAAGCTACCTCTTTATTCCCTGTACAACACATCAACTGCTGTCCAAAGATTGTTCCCAGGTCCCTTACGAAGGATAGATCTTAATTACTTAAGATTTGATCATAAAATAATCATTTTAAAATAAGTGAGCTTTCCAGGTTTGTAAAAATCGATTGCTCAGCTTCATTTGAGATCACTAAATAAAGCAATGGTGGTCTGCTGTGTGTGACAGATAAGACATTCAAGGCACTCTCCTCTTTCCTGTATGGATGTTGATTCTAAGAGTCTGTCTGTCATTCTTCTTCAGCCTTTTTTGGAGCTGTCTTAAGAGTGGAGCAAGCAGACAATGTCTAAAACTCTGGGACTGAAATGTTGCATTCATAGGGCCCTGGCAGGTGTTATATTTGTCCCACCATACCAACTGTTCTAATGCTATAAAAAGGAACTGGTCATATGTTCATGCTTTGCTTTTTTGTGCTTAACTGACTGTTTTGACATGCATGTTGGATGCATGACAAATTGCTGTTTTGAACAGCAACTTCACTTTCTTTCTGGGATAAATATAGCATGTGATCAGGTGTAGAGACCCCCCACTATCCCAGAGTGCTTGGTTTGCCTGCCAGCCTTCCTCCCTGGCAGCTCTTCCCACGGAGGAGCGGGAGAGCAGCTGGCTGCCTGACAGCCTACCCAGTTGGGATCTGTCAGAAAGCCCTGTAGGGACAGCTTCTGGACAGCCCTGTCTTGTTTGCCACCTGGCAGTAGTGTAGACAAGGCTGCAGCATCTCACCTCCATTCTTTTATCCAACAGAAAAGTTTAACTTTTGTGTGGTGCTATTGGTTATACATGTTGTAGATGATGGGGACTATCCTTTATAGCCATGCTTCTGATCCATCTGTTCTTGGTAGTCAGTTTTGCTGCTACCTTAGGTTTGCTTATGGCAAAAGGAGTCTATGCCTCTGACAGCTGAAGGAGGTGGATGGTTCAGGTGGCATTTGTGGCAGGTGTCGAGGAACAGCAGTCATAGGGCAAAATTGAAAGAAGTTGGTGTGTCCTGTCTGTCCTTTCCCTTCTCCCCAGTGTCTTGTAGGCAAGGCTATCTAGTGTTTGTTCCCTTTCCATCTATGTCTCTTCTGGTCTTTTGTGCAAGGAATTTTGTTTGAAGCCCTAACTCTCTCACATTTGAGCCTAGTTATTTCTTGGCCAAGCAGGAGAGTTCTGCTCACTTAAAATTATTTTAAAAAATATCATCCTTTTTTTTTTCGTCAGAAGGAAAAGGTCCAGAGACTGGAATCAAGGACCACTTATCCAAAGACAGTCATCTGGAACTAACTGATGACAGGGATGAGAGTGAGCCTTCGGATGATGAGTTTGCTACAGTTCCTAATGAAGGGATGGTGGTGTTAACTGAAGAAAAAGAAAAACCCACTTCAACAGAAGATTTACTTTTTGAAGCCAGTTTTGAATCTCCCCCTACCCAACCGCAAGAATCTCTTCCAGAAGAGAAAGTGGATTTACTGGGGCTAGACTCTGATGTTCCCCAAGAACAGAATCCTCCTGCCTCAGAGATGAACTCTTCATCTAGCAATGCAGACCTACTGAACAATTTGTTGGTGGATGGCACACCTCAGGCTTCAGAAGAACCTACTGGGGACCTTCTGGGACAAGGGGAAGACTTCTTTTTCAGCAGTCAGTCTCATCCCTCTGTCAGTGCCCAGAGTACATCTTCAACAGCAGTGGTGTCTTCTGCAGGTATGTAATGTAACACGCATTTTTTTTTACCACCTCATAGATGTATGGCAGTCTGGCACCAGAATCTATAAGTGGAATTTGTTTAGCCTGTTCATAGATATCATAGATTATTTTATTTATTTATTTTTTAGGATCAGAAGGGACCTCAGTAGATCGAGTCTGAGCCCCTGTCGTGGGCAGGAAAGAGCACTGGGGTCAGATGACCCAAGCTAGGTGCTTGTCTAGTCTCCTTTTTAAAGACCTCCTAGGTAGGGGAGAGCACCTCTTCTGTTGGAAGTCGATTTCCAGACTTTGGCAACCCTCACTGTAAAGAAATTTTTCCTAATGTCTAATCTAAATCTGGTGTCCGTCAGTTTATGGTGATTTTTGGTTCTGGTAACCCCAAGGGGTGCCCTGGTAGACAGAGTATCCCCTGTTCCTTGCTGCCGTGGCGCCCGCCCCCCCCAAGAATTTGTAGACGGCCACAAGATCCCCTCTCCACCTTTTTGTGGAGGCTGAAGTGATTCAGGTCACTCAATCTCTCCTCGTAGGATCTTACCTGTAGGCCCATAACCATACGAGTAGCCCTCTTCTGGACCCTCTCAAGGTTATCCACATCCTTCTTGAAGTGCGGTGCCCAGAACTGGACACAATATTCCAGCTGCGGTCTTACCAATACGGCAGAGGGGAAGTACCTCCTTAGACTTGTTCTTGACACACCTTCTAATGCATAAGAGTGCAGTTGGCTTATCACTCGTCACGTTGACTCATGTTCATTTTGGAGTCCACTATGACACCGAGATCCCTTTCTGCTGCTGAGCTGCTTAGAAAGTCACCTCCCAGCCTGTTAGGTGTCTTGGTGATTCTTTGTCCCTGGATGTAGCACTCTGCACTTACCTTTGTTAAACTGCATCCTATTCTGTTCTGCTCACATTCCCAACCTGTCCAAATCTGCCTGAATCTGCTCCCTGCCCTCCAGTGCATTTACTTTGCCCCATAATTTGGCGTCATCTGCAAATTTGGACAGAGTGCTTTCCACGCCTTCATCCAAGTCACTGATTAAGATATTGAACAGCACTGGTCCAAGGACTGAACCCTGAGGATCTCCACTGCCAACCTTTTTCCAGGTCAAAAACAACTTGTCCACCACCACCCTCTGTGCATGCCCCAACCACCTGACCATATAGCAATCTGCGTCACAACCACTTAATTTATTTATAAGAATGGGATGCAACACTGTATCAAAGGCCTTTTTAAAATCTAAGTAATAAATAAAAGTAGATGACATATACCTCAACTCCTGCATCTAAGCATTTTGTGACCTGGTCATAAAAAGAAAAAAGGTTAGTCAGGCAGGACCTACCTGATATGAAGCCATGCAGGTTGCCCTTCAGCATTGTTTTTCCTACTGGACTCCCACAGATGTGATCCTTAATTTTTTCAAAGGGTTTCCCAAGGATAGAAGTGAGGTTAACTGGCTTATAGTTGCCTGGATCATCCTTTCTTCCCTTGAAAATAGGGACCATGCTGGCCCTTTTCCAGTCCTCTGGACTCGCCAGTGGTTCTGCTATGACACTGGCTAATTCCTTCAGCACCTTTTGGATGAAGATCATCTGGGTCTGCTGACTTAAACATGTCCAGCCCCTCCAAATGCCCCTTCACTAGGTCAGTGCTAACTATTGGTGGGTTGGAGTCCCTCCTGTACCTGTCTATAGCCCCTATAGGAGAGAGATCTTTATCTGTGTTCAGGAATACAGATGCAAAGAACTCATTTAGGAGCTCAGCTTTGTCCCTCCTGTCTGTTACAAATTGCCCTAGTCTGTTCTGTAGGGGTCTTATGTTGCCATGCACCTTGTTTTTGCTCCCTATATACCTAAAGAAGGACTTTTTGTTGTCTTTAATTTTTGTTGCCAGCCTGAGTTCCATTTCTGCTTTGGTCTTCCTGATCCTCTGCAAGTGCAAGCCAAGCAGGTATACTCCTCCTTGGTGGCTACCCCCTGCTTTCACAGCCTGTATGCCTCCCTTCCTTCCCAGCTCTTTGGGATTTCCCCGGTCAGCCAAGAGGGTTTATTGGCTCTTGCCAGCCTTTTTGCGCACGGGGATGGTCCCCTTTTGTGCCTAAAGTATCATTCCTTTGAAGTACGCCCACCCTTCCTGGACTCTCATTTCGCCAATACCCTTGCCCTGCAGTGCCTCGCTTACTAATAATCTGAGCTCATTGCAGTTAGTCTTTCTGAAGTCTAGCACTTCTGTCCTACTAGTTATTTCTCACCTTTCACCATATGGTGAATTCTAACAATTGGTGGTCGCTATCCCCTAGGTTACCCTGTATCTGCAGATCACCCACCAGGTCATCCCCTGTAGCAAGCACTAAGTCCAGTAGGGCATTTCCCCTAGTGGGACCGTATACCTCCTGCATTAGGTTGCTACCCAGCATACAGGACCTTCACCTATGTGAACGGGCAAATCTAGCTGATTGCTCCTCCCAGGAGATGTCAGGGTAGTTTAGGTCACCCATGACAACCATGTCTCTTGAGTGTACGGCCTCTGAGAGCTGCCTTGAGAATTCTGGGTCTAACTCATCCTCCTGGTGTGGTTGTCTAATACCCCTATTACCAAGTCCCTTTTCCCCCTGACCCCCTTTGTATTCTGACCCACAGTACCTCAATTTGCCCCTCTTTTGATTCCATCTTGATTACTGAAGATGCGTATTGCTCCTTAACATGGAGAGCGATGCTCCTTGGCACTTTTTCCCCACCCTGTCTCATCTGCACAGCCTATAACCCTATGGTGGGACCCTACCCACAAGGTTTCTGTTAACCCAACCAGGTTGAAGTCTGTTTGCAATCAGGAGTGAGTTCCTCCTGCTTGTTCCCCGTGCTCCTAGCATTAGTATGGAGACACCTAAGCCCCACAGTGGGTGCCCTTGGTACCCCCCCCCCCTTCCTTGCATTGTTTGTTTTGGTTTTTTTTACCAATGTAAAAAACATTTTACTACATGTTGTCTGTTTCCTGTGACTGGATTAGTTGCTTTGTACCATTTAATAGCTTTATAACAGGGTTCAAGTTTTACAGGGAAGGGAGCTTCATTTATTTTTTTAAGCTATTAAAAATATGACACTGACGATGCTTTTTTCCATACAGTTAGAATTTGGAAATACAGCTTTAGTTTGCAAAATTTACTGTGCTTAAAATATTAATACCAAAAATGAAATCTTGCTGTCTCGTATAAAAGAATCAAAAGTTTAAAAAAAAAATTACGCTTCTCTTGATCTATGCATCTAGAACTTGTATGTTGCCAGAAGAGATGCTTTCTTCCAGAGTATGGAGGAGTTTTGGTTAAAAACGGCTGACTTCTTACTGTGCATCGTGCACTTGCTTAGTCATTCTCCCTTCTGACAAGATCCCCTGGAAGTGTCACTAACACAGGACGAACACAGCATTAAAAAGATGCTAGATGTTATTCATCTGAAATGCTTTGACTGTGTATCTGGATGCGACTTTGGCTAGTTGTCACATCTTGATCTTTGCCATTCAGCGTCTATTAAAATCAAGCTGAGCAGACACTATACTATCAGACTGTGCTAAACGTTGCCAGCTGGTGAGTTTCGTAACCAGCTTTATTGTAGTAGATGTTCCATTCATCTTTTTCAAGAGGAGCAAGAGGACTAGGATTTACTAGATCAGTGGTGACCTTTTAGTGCCATGGGCCAGATTGGGGGATGCCACGCACCAGGATTGTCCCTGTGCTGCTGGATTGGGACCTTGCACTCTCTCTCTCAGCCCTCTGCCACTGGATCTGGGCCCTGTGTTGCCTCCAGCCAGCCCTTGTGTGCCTGGGTCAGACCCTGGGTTTCCTCTACGGGCTGATCTAGCATGCTATCTAGCCCGTAGGGATCCCCACAGCTCCTGCCACAGTTTAGCAGCAGGGGAGTGGCAATTGCTGCTACTGCTCCCTGTCACCTACTTTTCAGACCCATGGGGACCCCTGTGGGCCAGATCTGGCATGGCTTCAAGCTGGATCTGGCCTGCAGGCTGGGGTTTGAGCACCTCTGTACTGAAAGGTTCCTGATGTGAAGTGTAGAATTTCTCCAACCTTATTGTAATGTTAAGTCTTCATTTCTGTATTCTTTCAGTTTCAGTAGTTAGTTAGTCAGTGTTGTTGTATGTTGATGATGGGACATTAATTAAAGCATTTGGTTTAAATACCCAAAAGCCAGAAAACAGAGATGAAAAGCTGAATCCTCTGATGCTGATCTATTTAAGTATATGCTACAGTCAGGGTAACTTAAGCAATTGCTGAAATGTGTGTAACTTATTTTTCTTTATCGTTCGTTTATTTTACTGTGGTCACTGGAAAAAAAATCAAATTTAGCTTTAGCATTTTCTTGCATTGCTGTGCATCTATAAAAATATAATCAGTGCAACTCACCCTTTGATTGTGTCTGCTAAGGATAAAAATGAAAAATGCTAATAAATTCTTATGCTGATGTACTTGAGTTTATAGCTTCAGAAAAAGAAGGAAAGAGTAGCGTGGTGTCTCTGATCAGTTCCAGGAACGCTTCTATTGACTAACTTGCATGTTGTCGTCTTAAACCTGTTTTAATATAGGAAATTCTATGTCTGTGCTGAAGTAAATGGTGGCTGGGGGGCTGGTATGCATGCACATGTAGACACACATGCATGGGCACATTGATTCCAGGTTTATGGTGTTGTAAAGTGTTTTAGTATCCTGTGTGATTTATAATCATGTTACATAAAGAGACATCAGGGCAGGATTATCGCTCCTGGATTCTACCTGCGTCTCTTAGCTCTTGAGGCTTTGACCCATGAGGGCAGGAGTAATGGGGCAAAGCCTGAGCCACGGTTTCTGCAGACCACCACATGTAACCCTGTGTTGAGTATAAATATTGTTCTGATTAGTTCTTGATAGTGACCAGTAAAAAAGCTTCCTACTAGAAACTGGGTTTTTTTGCTCCAGTTTTTGCATCAATCTATCAAATTTTCTGTCTTCAAGGATCAGGAGCTGCTGTCTTGTCACTGATTTCTTTTTAGAATGTCCTCCTAATGTGAAGTTTTAGTCTTAAATAATGCTGTTCTGAAATAAGTGATATAAATTTGAGGGACTGGTTTATGTGGGGAGAAGTATCAGTGTGTTTGACTTCATTCAGTGTCAGTAAGGATTTATATTTAAAGGGATAATAGTTTCTTTGAGGTGTGATTGGATACAATCAGCTGCCTGTGTAATAGCATGTAAGTACCATAGCATGTAAGTACCAGCGCGTGGGTTCAGGGACAGACTTGAAACGTTGCCAGAAAATAAATACTCAAAGGCAGCTTCAACTGACACCCATGGCCTCACCTTATTGCCTTTGTCTAAAAGGGTGTTAATTTTTATCCTGTGCGAGTTATTTGTAATAGCGTTGGACATCAGGATAATTTGTTTTCTGCCTTTTTCATTTAGCTGATCCGTTTGACCCATTCAAAATGTCATCAGGTTCTGAAAATCCAACCCTGACTGGCCCCGATCTCTTTGGCGACTTCCTTAATCCAAATGCAGCATCCTCATCCCGTACGTTTCCCTCCGCACACAGCGCACCACCTCCTTCTTCTAGTTCAGACTTCTTAAATTTAGGTAAGTGCACTCTTGATGTTTTCTATAACTGTTTCTGTGACTTCACTGTGTTTGGGGTATTTGTTTCCCAGCTCAGTCGAGGTGGATTAGACACTAACAGATCTTCTTATCTGGTTGCTAATTTTAATAAGATGCATGTTCCTGGTGTATAAATACACATGTCCAAGTAGTGAGGATTCCTATATAATGTCACTTCATTAAGCCTTGGTATTGGAGTTTTGCTTGCGCTGGTAACCTTCTGCTAATCCTGTGATTTTAATTTTTCTGTGGGAGATGGGACAGAGAATAAACAAAGCTTTGTGTTTTTCTATTTCATTAAATTGCTTAGATTGCTAAAGGTAAATGTGATTTATATTTATATTTTTAATGAGGTTCTTGGCATCTTTGAAAGACCATAAGAGAGGAAGTAGGAGTGATTTAGGAAACAATTGATTTGCTGAATGTATACTTAAACCTTTCAGAGTCAATGCTTTTGTCCCAAAAGAATAGTTATAGAATGTATTATATAATACTTTAGAGATCATCTTGTCCATCTGATTTTTTTTTTTAATCTAAGTGCTGTAGGTAAATACGACAAACAAGGCTGTAAGATTTAGAGTTGCTATGAAATTATAAGAGTCAAAATTTTGTCTAGCTCTGGACCAACTGTGTAGTTGGAATAATAAAAGATAACATCCCAAGAAATCCTTGTCTTCTGAAATTATAGTCAAAAGACAAATACATAATAATATTAATTGCAAGTAAGGGGGAAGGGGGGAATTATAATACTAACTATTAATGGCTCTTCAACTAGCGTTAAAAGTAATTTGTCTTCCGGAAACTAATTTAATAGCATTTCTCAATTTTAGATCCTTACATTTGGTAACAAATTTAGATTTTTCTCTCTAGTGAATTTAGGTTCTTTACTTAATGCAAAAAGTCATTTAAAAAAATTTTAAGATCTGAATCAACTCAGACTGCAGAAATAAGACCACCATACCCTTGAAATTCACTGGGTGTCAAACATGGCCTGCATAGCCTCTCTATCCAGCTTGCTGAATTACTGGCAGGCCACTGGTAATGAGGGGACATGACTGGGCGGGGAGTAACGGGTTGCAGAATCTGGGACCTTTGGGCCCTTGGTAGAGATGGTGATCAGCAGCAAGGTGAGCAAGGACTGACACAGCCCCAGTCACTTCCATCCACTTTTCCTGTTTTCATAGCCCTATTTCCCTGGCCTCTGGCCCCTGTTGCATACCCTGTTCTGGAACTGGAGCTGCTGCTGTGGCATGGGGCACGCAGCAGTAGCTCCAGCTCCAGCATGGGGCATGAGGTGGAGGCCAGAGCCACTGCTACATGCTTCCGGCCTGAGCTGGAGCTGCTGCCACTTCTTTGTACCCCACAGGGAGCCCCCCAGATCAGATCTGGCCTGCGGCACAAGGTGAACGCAATACCCATGGGCTAAATAAAGCTAAAAAGAATCTTTGGTCTGGTTGTTACGGATGGCACCCACATGCTTGGAATCTTGATGCAGATATAATTTCAGAGAATAGGATGAGAAATATTTACCCACAGTATAGAAATATTTTTTGCTTAAAAAAAAAAACAGAAAAACAAGGGGGTGTGGAAGGTTGAGGGGAGTAAGTCTTTTGAATGATATTCTGTGTTAACCACCCTGCAAAATGTTCTAGCAGTTACACCTTCAGATAAACTAAATCAGCGTTTCCCAAATCTTGTAGGTTTCTGCCCTATTATAGGGAAGTTGGTCAGTCTCATGGTCCTTCTCCCCCACCCCACTTCCCTCGTTGATGATTGCCACAGATTTTCCTTGGCAAGGGGAATTGGTGTCAGGAGAAGTGATGGTACTGGCTGAAGTAGGGGGCCCACATGATGATAATTCGTAGTGAGGGAAGCAGTGGTGATGACTGATGTAGGATGTGGTGCAAGAGTGGCTGAAATAGGGCAGTGCTGTTGATTTGCCACTGATCTGCTCCCACTCAGGAACCTTTTGCTCCCCCTCTGGGCACAATATCCTGAACTAAACTGTATTATTGAAATATGTAAATACCTGTATCATGTTCAAACCTATATAAAATACTGTGAACTCTATTTTAAATATGTGAACATCTCTGTTAAAGGTGGTGCCAGTCCAAGGAGCAGAATTCAGAAGACCTCAGTTTTTTGTTTCTGGGTCCAGGGCTGATTTGATTTAATGACTTCAAGCTCTGTCCCAGTTTCTGTAGCCATGAGGCTAATGTACTTGGCCACCTTTTGTAAAGTAGTTTGATTCTTGTGCATGACGAGCTGTATAAAGAACTTGGCTACTCCTGTTTTTAAATTTTATAATTGACAAGACTGAAGCAACCTGAATCTGCTCTTTGACATAAAACCAATATTATGCCACATCCCTTGGGCAATATCAAATACAAAGAAAGGCCACACACAGTTTTTTGTTTTTTCCCCTAAAGTTTAATTTAAGGGTATGTTGATTACCCCAACATTTTGCCTGTTGATTTATATTTACACATGTAATGGTCACATTGGTGTAATCAATCAGTAGGAAGAAAAAGGCACTGTGTAAAGCTGTAAACTTAAGTAACTTGGCCCAGTTTAGAGGTAAATTACCTCCAAAAGAAACCTGGGTGGAGTTTTTCCCAAGTTAAGTTTCATCCATCTGCTTCTATTCCTAGGCAGCAGTTCCTAACAGCTTAGGTATTCCCTTCCTTTAAGTGTGCCTGCTAGGTAGAGATAGCTGACACCTATCCATTCCTTTATTCTGGTATAACTTGCATCTGTACACAAACACCATTAAGATGCCATGGTGAAATTTACATTCGTCTTTACCCTTAATAGAATTTTCAAAGATGCTACTTTCTGAAAGTGTCACTTTGTTTTAGGGATTTGTGGGGATAGCTTGCATTTTTCAGAACAGGAGCTAAGTATAGTAACTAGTGGTATCTGTAGAGGGTGGGGATAATGAATAAAACAATAGATGGATAGTTTACCTGGGGTCATTCTCTCCTGGGAAAGGTAGGAAATGGCAGTGCCTCAGGTTCATCAAGTTGGGCAGGGGATTAGTCTTCGTAACCAAATTGATTTCCACCCCCTTCCCCCACCTATTGTTTTTACTTTGTACCTCTTTTTTTTCTTTTTCACTTAATGCATCTTCTTTCCAAATAAATGTATAAGTCATTTGGGATAGGAACCAACTTATAGCTATGAATGTTTGTACAGTGCTCAGCATAGCAGGGTCCTACTCCTAAATTGGGTCACTGTCAATAATAGAGATACCTAGAAGCTTTTTAAGTCCTCCTTGGCTCTCAGTTTTATCATGTTGATTAAACAGGAGCTTAATAAATACACATCAGAAAATGTTTGTGTGCAAAGGTGTTGCAAACATGCAGTTATCAGTTTTCTTGCACTCAGTAGCTTTTACTTCCTCAAAGATCATACTAGACAATAGGGCTGTACAAAGCTTTGGTAGCTGATTTGATCTGGAGTAGATTTGGCCTATTTTGGGGACAGAATGTCTGAATGCAAATTGAATTGGAAGACCAAGTAAAAGCTCTGAATCAATTTGGAAAAACTTCAGAGAGAAATTCAGCTGCACATTACTTGGGGAGGGGGTGCAGGAGCTAGGAGTGGGGCTCTGGCCTGCTGCCGCTTACCTGAGCGGGGTGGGATGTGGGCACGGCTCGCTCCGGGTGGAAGGGGGCAACTGGCAGCAGGGCATAGCCTCTGTTCCTAGAGCTGATGTGGGCATGGCAGCGCTGGGAGTGGGAACTATGCCCTGCTGCTGCCCAGAGTGAACCGGGCCTGCATTGATTCATGGAGCCGCCCCAACTCCCAGCTGAATTGATCTGGGCGCTGGGGAATCGAACTGGCTCAGAGTGAACCAAGTAATTTTGAGAGTCTGTATTTGAGGACCTAAAATGGAATGTAATTTTTATGTTTTTCTTTCATTTCCCCCCCCAATAAGACACGTAACTTGTATCAGGAAATAGACTGAAGAAACAACTTTTTTCCCCTCGGTCTTCCCTGCCATACCATGGGCTCTCCAGGGCTGAATGCTCATGACTGCATGCATCATTCATCCTCTCCTTCCAGCTCCAAAGCTGGGGATTTAACCCTGTCACAGCCACTGCTAAATTGTCACAGCTGCTACAGAGCAGCCAAAAGCTGATGTCAAAGTAAAGCTTGAGCTGGAAAGAAGTGTGTCACGAAGTTTCCTGCCTGTGCTGAGAAAGCAGTCCAGCCCTGGCAGCCATTCCAGCACCCCATGCCCCTTCTGGTGTGGAAATCGGCCTCCTTACTTAAACATGCACCCTGATTTTTTGGGTGGCTAACTTTTGGGGAAAAGGTGAATAGTATGCAAGTAAATACAATAATCACATCTGAAAGTAGAGTTCATGAATTAGTACAGGGACACACAGCTTGGTCAGTACTGAGCAATGAAGATTATTTTTTCTGTTTAAAAGGAAGTTGCACAACAACGTATTTCTTCACAAAAATATAATGCCCAGTAGTAAATGCCCAGCTGAGCTATTTATTGCTGGATAACACAAAGCTGTTGTGGTGATTAAACTATCTTGTGGGACTACTGCACCTGTCTTTACTAGTTGCAGTCACTGACCCCATAACAAGGTCTGCATTGGATCACTTGACATGTTACCTATCCAAACAATTACAACTGTTACGATTTTACTTAAAATACTTGAAAGTATTTTCAAGTTTCTATCCTATATCAACTGTCTTCCTTCACTTTTTTACTTATTAAAAAGAAAACATTTCATATTTTTTTCTAGAACTAAGAGATAACATTCAGTTTAGTATCGAAAACTACAGATTTTAGCTTGTGCTGTGAAGCTAGCTATGTTTAAACACAGCTGAGTCATGGTTTTGAAAGTCACGTAATACATGTGTTAAGGAGTTGTGTTTTGCAAACACTGTCGGACTGAATTGAAAAGCAGTAGCTTCGACATTAGCTTCAAGTTGTCAGCTTGAGAATGACTTGAATCCTGGTAAATGTTTTAACCTGTTATTTTAACATCATTTTAAAAGGTTTCTATCTATGTGAGGGGAAAAATCCTATTTAGCATGCATATAAAGCACTACTGATTCAGTATAATTTTAGACATGTTTGGTTTCTTTATCACCCTTGCAAGCCAAAAAGAGGGTTTTCCCTTTTTGTTAACTTATATTCTCCTCTTCAATGATTAAAATAATGAAATTATTCTTTGGGACTCCTGCTGTTTTTGGCAGCAAATCACTACTATGCAAGCATTGAATATGCAGCACTAGTAGGATGAAGGGTTGTAGCTTGTCCTTCTTTAGATTTGTCTTCTAAGAAAAAGCTTTTTAATACATTTATCTGAAGTGAAGCCAGCATTACCTGAAGCATGCATTTCTGGTCCTAGTTATGCATTAATTTTAATAAAAAATATAGGAATACTAAAATTATTATGGTGCTGTTCTTCTAGGTGAAGTGAGAGGTATGATTAATGTAACAAGCAAAGCCCACTGTACTAAGAAAGCATAGAGTGGCATACAAGTGATCCAAAATGGAAGTGTAAGGGAAGAGAATCTTTCTTAGCAAAAGGCATGGTGAAATTATGGTCAAGGCACTGTCACCGTGCAGGGCATGATGCAAGCCTAGTAAGTGTTTCTGAACTGAGAAGCAATTTTAAGCTTATTGAGTTGATAGCAGGGTCAGTATTCATTAAAATAACCCACAGTTTTGAGATGAATGAATTCCACCATTGGAGTGGCCATGGGACATCAGCAGAAATGGTGAGCCAGGAGAACCTGTGAGAGAGAGAACAACTTCATACAGCAATGAGGAAGGTCCCAGACAACTTCTCGCATCATCCTAAACAAATCTCTTGATTCACAGGAAAATGTTGTTGTCCTCTGTGGTTAAAGACTTCTTAAGTAGATGACACAATTTTAAGTAAACCTATGTTGTGAGACATTGTGCCTAGGCCTTAATAATAAATTAGTCTCATTTTAGGCAGTAGCATGGTATAATCTGTTTGCTGCCAATTTGTGATCTGACCTCCAAGCTCATGTGTAACAATGGGTATGAGGCACTGACTTGTATTGAGTGATTACTTTCAGGGTCAAAAGATGCAAGGATGCTGTAATGGGCCATGGTCGTACAATTCAAACTGTCCTGAAATTCAGCAGCAGAGAGTGGATGGAGGGGGTTTATAGCTGGGGCTTTGACTTGGGCCTATCTTTATAAAAGATGGAAGAAAATCATGTTTTGAAGTGTTTGCACTCCAATGTGCTAGACTGCAGACTATGAAAATAAATGTCTCTCTTCCAGACAAAAGGACATGAGGTAATTGCTTCCATGCGTTCCGCTGAGTTTTATAGTATAGCATGTGGCTCCAAAACAGCAATACTTCAGGAAAGTAACCACCTCCAGCAAAGTGTTTTAAATTAAACTCAGAGTTGCAGTTTAATGTCTTCAATGAGCAAAACCCTTCCGGGAAGTAATTGTCAGTAATCGAAACTACGCAGCGATTCTTAAGCAGATCAAGAATTCCCCAACTGAAAATCCAAATAGCAGTCCTGTTAGTGCTCTTACCATAAAACATAATCATCACTGTGTTGTTTAATTTTCCATTATGAATTATTTTCTAGGAAATCTGACACCAGAGCCAGCTAAGATAACTTCCTCTGCAAGTCACCCAGACCTTTTGGGTGGATGGGACTCCTGGGCTGATTCCTCAGCTGCTGCCAGTGTGGCTTCACAACAACCAAAGAAGTCTGCATTTGAAGGTATTCTGAAATAAAACATACAGTGCATTTTTAGTACCCTGGAGACTGAGTGTTTACTTGCTTGTCTATCATTCTAGCCTCTTGAAACTATGGGGTCACTGTAAGCCTCTTGCTTATTAAATAATGATATTCAGGAACTCAACTTCAGCTACTTTGGAAGGTGTGCTACATTTTTTTTTTTTTTTTTTTTAATTTAATGAAAAACAAAAGAATAAGGTAATACAGATTTTTTTACACCACTTGATTAGCCATAGATATGATAAAAAAGAAACAGTGCAACATCAGAGATTTTGAAGATGATTTTTGGATTGATGTGCTTGGTCATGGAAATAGTACTTTTCTGTCATCCTTTTAAACCTGTCATCTCTACCCTGTATAAAACTTCCTCTCTGTTTTTATTACACAGGCCAAGCTCTTACTACAGGAAGCCAGTCAAGTGCGTCTTCAGGTCTATCTCTCACCCAAGCACAATCTCAAAATTTTGACCCTTTTGCTGACCTGGCTAACCTTAGATCTGGTCTTCCAGGTAACTTCTAAATTTTTTTTTCAAAGGTATAATAAGAATGTAACTCGTATTTTCCCCCCCACACTCTTCGTGCCCTCCCATGACTTTAAATAACAGGATTGGAGGAAATATTTGCATGGATAACATGAACTTCCACAATTACTTTTATAAAGAAGTATGGTTTTAAAACAGTTTGAAAGTAATGTAAGTTTGTAATGCTTCGGTCTCTGAAGGGGTTTAAAATTAATGGTCTAGAGCTTAAGTCTAAGTGGCGCAGGGAGAATAGAGGTGTCTTAGAAATAGAAGTGTCTGTTGTTCAGGGAGAAATCAATTGGATCTGGCCATATGAAATACCAGCTGTTTCGGAAGAATGCATGGAAGAAAGCCTTCATATTCCTGAATCGTCATGTATGTGTAAGAAAAGGAGGAAGTTGAGAGCTGTAAGAACTCAGGATGGGGAGAATGATTCTGATCAGGAGGGTCAGGCAGGGCCAAGACTGTTCTCCAACTCAGTTAAGAGGCGTCAATGGAGGGCAAGTGAGAGCTGGTGGAAGACGAAGGGTGCAGGCTCTGTAACAGGATGTTTGAATAAAAACAGGAGGAAAGGTCAAGCCAGTAAATGCATTCTTCTGTTTCAAGAGGTGTAGTGAAAAAGTAAGATAGATGGTAGTGGGCGAGTTAAAGGGTTGATCTTTGAGACCTGAGAATCATACTGCAGCCTTATGTGCTGCTGGAGAGAGGAGAACAACTGAAGGGTGCAAGGCTGGAAGTTGAGAGGTAAGAAAGCTGTGTTAGGATCAGTACTTTAATTCATGGGGTGACCACCTCCTCCTTTTTTTCTCCTGTATTGTCTGTATGTTCCATAACCCTTATCCCTTGGTAAAATGTTTGCTAACTCACTTTTCTCTAAAGAAAACTCCAGTGTTCCTTTCCCATCTTGTACTGAATCAGCATCCAGTTATCAAGGGTTTCCATCCTGCTGGGTTATGTCAGCCTCCAGTGTGGAGTCTTGGGTTTTTTTTTGCTGATTTGTTTTTTTCCTGAAGTCTCAGTAGCTCTGGATTACTCTCATGTGCAGTTCCCTTCAAATCTTCCCAACAAGATTAGGGAGCCAGCTCAAACTCCTGTACGAAAACAGAGACTTGTCTGCTGGCAACACAGCTTATTTTCAGAACACTGTCTTTTCAAGAAGAGATGCAAGCAAGCTTTATTTGTCTCAGAAATTGATGGAGCTTGAAGTATAGCTTGTTCTGGTATTTTTTGTCCTCAGCTTTCACTGAAGATGTGATTTCCACCCCCCCCCCCTCCTTCTGTTGCATAATAGTACTCCTGCCATAGAGTGAAAATAAAGGTTTGGTTACAAGATCAGAATACTCTAGGGCAATTTGGTTGTGAACTTGCTGTGTCAGCTACTCTATAGTAACTACCCAGGTACGCTCTTATCCCACAGTAAGTATGAAGAAGTTTTGCCCCTCAGTGAAAGTAGAACACATTGTACTGCATTTGCTGCGAGATAAAACTATGCATATAGGCAGTTACTGCAGAACGGATGACTTAACTACAAGGTAAGTAAGCTAGGCTATGAACTTGCAGCAACTTGTTTGTGCAGCTATAACTTGAATATAATCTGTAGTTGTAGCAGTCAGAGTAGGGTTCAGTTCATCCTGTTCTACTGCAAATGCAGGACTAATTGCTAAGAGGCGATATGCAGAGGCACAATGTCAGGAACTGCAAGTTTTCCTCTCCCCTGGAGGAGTTTGAAAGTCAGTCTGTGTTGCAGCTGATGTGCCCAGAGCCCCTTATGTGTGTAAACTGGAGATGCTTCTGCTCTTATTTTGTTTCTATTGGGGAAACAAGCTGTTGTACAAATCTACCATGTCTGGTACTTCATCAGCTTTGCTTTAGACGGCTCCTATGTTCACCGGAGCAAAAGGATTGGATGCACGTGCATGCTGGAAAGTTGAGAAAATATTGCTGATTAACCACTAGATAATGCAGATGAGGCAGAAAATACCTGGAGTGGGGGAACAGACTAATTTGGAATTGGGTTTACACTATTTTAACCTTTACCTTGCTTCATTACCTTGCCAGGTTAATATCATTCAGTTAACACTTTTTTGTTTTATTCCCTTAAACCATTCTCATTAAACTACCTGTGTAAAAACTGACTGAATTAGATTCTTACACACCTTCTCTTTAAGTTGCTTTGTCACTTAATCAGTTTTAGTGGTTCAGATTATGCCCCCCCCATGCTTCTGCACCAGTATAATTTTAGCAGTTTTAATAAGGATGCTTCTGTTTTGCACTGATGTGTGTGAGATGCTAATCTATATATGCACCCAATTCTGAGATTGGGTTACTTTGCACTCAGTACAAGACTTAAAGGCAGGAGAACTGGTTGTGCTTTGCCTTTTTGGTAGGTGCACAACTGTCAGCTGCTTCAGAGCTGTTTCAATTTTGTCAATTGCCAGAAGTTCAAAGAAGAAGCTGAAACACCTGGGGATTGCTTGAGCGCACACGTGCTTTGGGCATACTTTGTACCGTGGAGCCTGAAGAGGTGGCAACACAAAGTTCTCTCACCTGAGAATTATCAATATGTTGGGGAAATTCACAGCTCATGTTTATGGCTGCTTTGTTACAATAGAGCACCCCAAACAGATTATTGGCCCCAATATCATCTATCAGCCCAATGGATCACAGCACCAGGGAGGGGAATGGAGTGATCGGGCTGAGTTCCCTTCCCCAGCCTGATCCTAGTTCTGGGGAGGGCAACTCAGCTGGGCTGCTTTGAAACTCTTGAAACATTTCAACTGCCCTCGGTTTGTTTCGAGACTGTTTCAAAGCCCTTCATTGTGTTTTGATTTCGCTGTTTCAAGCTTGAAATGAATTGACAGTGTAGAAACGAAACAGCCGGCAAAATTTCACACAGCCCTACTAATTAGTTGTATAGAAAAAAAATTGATACCGACTAGTTTGGCTGCTACAACTGATTTGCATGGTTGTCACTAGAAGGTCTCTGGGTGTTTGTCTCATTAGACTATTTGCCTCTATTTTTTTTTCTCCCTTTGTTGCCTTCACTATGAATATTTGTCAAGTGATTGAATACAGTGTGAGAAAAATTAGCCTTGTTTAAACCAATAATAAAAAACAGTGCCTTTTCTTCCTTTTGAAATTTCTTAAATCTTTAATTTTGAAAACCTCTTGGTGTATGCACATGTCAAGCACTAAGGTATTTCAAATGAATTGCTTAATGCAGGGCATCCTTAGAAAACTCTACAGTTCACCTGTCCAGCAAAATATTTGCTCACTAACTCTTTATCTGGATGGTGTAGATGCAACATGAATCTGAGGTTTCACACTCCTAATAAAAGGACCCAGTGCAGTTAGGGTTTGGTGTTAGGATAATGATTCTTTGTACCCTCAGGTCCTGATCCAGCACCAGTTGAACCCATCCACTAGAGGTCTTTCACTGACTTCATTGGGATTTGGATGTAGTCCTTAGTGTCTCCTTTGGACAATCTTAAACTCTGTGATTCATTAGGCAATGGCCATTTGTCACCATAATGTTTAAACTTCTTGGCATTTTCAGGCTTAGAATTGATGATAGGAAAGAAAGTACAGGGCTTCAAGTCTTATCTCACTGTTTCAGACACTTGATACCCTTTGGTCACAGTAATAAATGTCCAGAAATATATAGTAGTAATTTGTTTGGTTTTTATTAGACTGAAAACTTTCCTTAATTTTGTAACTAATGGACTAACACTAGCATAATGGTAGCATTTAGTACTAGTGACAAAGAAATGACAGTTTTGGTTGAAAAGGGGAAATATAGGAAGAAGTTATTAGTGGAGTCCCTTAAGGTTCAATCTTGACCATGATCTTATTTCATATTTTGTCTTGGCACAAAAAATAGGAGAGTGCAGACTACACATGGGGGAGGCCATAAATACAGAGGAGCATCCAGCTATCTGATCTTGAGGTTTGGAGGAATAGAAATAGAGTGAAATTTATACCCTTTTTACTATAAATTAGGAACTCATCAGTTGGGGGGAAAACAGGTGGTGAGATTTTAGTTGATTGCAGGATGACTCACCCATGCACTGGGTCATAAAAAGAGTAAATGCAACCCTTGGGTGTATCAGGAAAGGTATTTCCAGTTGATGTGAAGAAGCATTAATGCCATGTATGAAGCACTAGTGAGACCTCAACTGAAATACTGTATTCTCTTTTGGTCATCTGTGTTCAAGAAAGATGAATTCAAACTAAAACAAGTGAGGGGCAAGGATTTCTTAGGGTGATAACTTTTTTACTGAACCATCTGTGAGTTGGGCTAAAGTTAGATAAGCTTTTGAATATAAAATCTGAGGAAGAATGCCTTAAATGTGAAAGCTTGTCTAACTTTAGCCCAACTACATAGTTGGTCCAGTGTGGTCTCTCATAATTTCTGGACCGCTATGGCTATACCATCACTCTTACACAACTAAAACAGGTACAGAGGAAAGTTGCTAGGAAGCATAACAGAGCCTATTAAATGAGGAGAGGCTAGAAGACCTTGGCTTGTTCACCCTAGTAAAAGAAGGCTGAGACAGGATTGTTGACTATAAATACTTGTAAAGGGCTTAGCACGGGGGAGGAGGAATAAGTATTTAAACTAAAGGAAAAGGTTGGTACAAGAACAAATAAGTATAAATTGGCCATGAATAAATGCAGAGCCCTCTTTCATCTGATTTTCTTTCTCCCTCCTCTTGTACTTGAATGCCCACATTTTTAACTTTTTTCTGTAGAGGCAATATGCAAGGCAAATGTGGAGGAAAATGGGGCAAGCCCATGTTTTTACCTACAGTTGGCTCAAAACTTTCAGGAGGAAATAGTTTTTCTTTTTTGCATATGTGTAAATGGGGTTCTCCTCAGAGTAGATGGCCCCGTACACATTCTTATTTGTAGATGAGCTTAGCCCTAGGGCCTTTCACTGATTAGTTGTGGTCAAAAGCACAAGTGAGTGCTCATGTGGACAACACCTTCTGAAGAACTCCAGTTACTGGTAATTTCCTTCTCATAGGGATGTTGTCTCCTTCTTTCAAAATATTAAAGTATCATGCTGCATTTAAATTCAGATAGGAAACTGCTTTTCAACAAAATGGGCACGAGCACATTGGAGCACACTTCTTCCCCCTCCCCCCTCTCCCTCCTGGATTAAAATAGACTCACTGGTCCAGAGGCTGGATAAAGGGCCTGATCTTGCTGTATGGTGTGCAGTCCCTATGCATGGCACTGGCCTGGCTGGACCCCCATACCTGTGCACAGGGCCGGTGCAGCAGGAGTGCCAATCCAGCCTGTGTTTTTTGTGGCATATTAATATGCTGTGGCGCACACCCTTCGGAAATCACTGCTCCAGTGCCTGTTACATTGGTAATATGCCAGTTGCTGAAGCAACTTGCTTTTTAGAAATCTTCTTGAAGATTGAGTCCATGGAGGCAGTGTAGGGGAGGATTGGCTTCAAGTATAAATCCCTTGCTTGTCATCCTGACTGAAACAAAGGACCAGGTGCCTAATGTGCAGGTTCAGCCTCTCTCCAATATGCATGGTTTGCACTGACAAAAGAGCGGGGAAGAGGGCTTTTACTTTCTCTACAAGCGAGTAAAAAAATAGATGAATCTAAGGGCCAGGCGTGACTGGTATCTCCTGAGTCTAGGGGGGGCACAACTTGTGGGCAGGCCCAGGGGTGGACCAAAAGCCCCATATCTGCTCCTATACTTCTGTGCCGTGGCTTAGTGCTCTTCCCCACCTCAACACACTGCTGGCCCGCACAACAAAAAAACTGCACTGACCTGAGTGGTGCTGTGTTGGGGGTCAATCTCGGGGGGAGGGGGGGTGTCATGTGCCCCCCCCCACCAGTCACCTGTGCTAAGAGCTAGCTGTTTTTTTACCACAATTTCTCTCCCAGGCCTGGTTCAGTATATTTTTCCTCCTATGTAGACCAGTATTTCTTAACCAGGGTGCTTGGGTACCCTGGGCTGCTTTGAGATGCTTTTAAGAGTGCTGCGGGGTGCCACACAATATTAGCACTGTTACGTGTGCAAACATAATTGATAAGATAAACCCAGAGATTTCATATAGAAGTCAGTAGTGTCAAAACAATCTTCCCTGTTATGATCTTTTTGATTTCTTTGCAACAGAAGAATTGCTCTGTTACTTTTCCAGTCAAAAATCAAGTGAAAACTAAGAGCTGGTATTTTCCAAGGGATGCCTTCAGTCTAATGTGGGTGAGAGCCTCTGATTGACCCTTACTAATATTAGTCTTCAAAGCCATTTATTCTTCTCTGAATACTTTTTTTTAATATAAAAAATGAAAAAAGGCTGGAGAGAATACTTTTTTAATGTGACTGACTTCAAAGCACACCTTTTCTTCAACATGAGTAGTTTCTCAGCACCCATCTTATAATTATTAGTGTAATAAGTATAATAAGTTGGTAGTGAAATCTATTGCATCTCTGAATAGGTTTTCTAGACAGCATGTGCATTCAGTGGATCAGACAAGGATTTAGCATTGGTCATATAACAGAATGAGTGGCAAGGTTAGGGAAGCTGAAGAATTTTTGAAACAGTAATGAATTTCTAGACTTCCACATCCAAGTTATCTGTGGTTCTTTGAAACTCTTGTCAAGAGATTTATTTTCAGACTTGTTTTACACATTCTTCAGATTGCAGAGCTGCTCGCTAAACCCAAGAGGGCAGATGTGGTTACCCTTATTAGTCTGAGAACACACAGAAGGTAGGGCAGGGTGGAACCAGTTCATCTTTAAGGTGCCACCCTGCCCTACTGGCCTAAAACAAGTGGGGAGGATATCTAGAATAGAAATGAGTTGAATCTGTTAGAAGAAATTAGGGATGTAAGAGGTATGACATGGTAATTTATACTATTTAATGTTTACTGTTTACCTCCCAGCCTGCTATCAGGGGAACAGCTCTGGCATGGGTTGACCAGGTGGCAGCATAGATCTGGGCTATAGCATTGCACAGCTGCTGTGACAGGGAGATAACTAGAGGTTGCCTGGCTCCGTTCCCCCCAGGTAGAGTTGTGCAGCAGAACTGGCAGGACTTAAATAGGAGCAAGTGCAGTGGCAGGCTGCCATCAGGTGCCATAGGGGTGGGCTGCATGCAGCCAGGCCCTCCTCTTCCCCACTCCATAGCAGGGGCTTCACAGGGGCCTCTGCCTGCCTGGACAGCTATGCTGCACCCAGGTGATGCCTCTAGCCTATGAGTACCTGGAGCCCAAGGTAGTACCTCTCTCCTGCTCACCTGTCCCCAGGACTCTGGCAGCTAACACTCGGAAAGCACCTGTGGCGACTCTGAGCCTGCGGGCACTTAGTGGATGGACATGGTGTACAGGATTGCACCCAAGGCATCCACCTGTGGGCTAAGCACCCTCTGCTAGGAGCTGCGGCACCAAGGCAAGGCCTCAGCTGAGTGGAAGGGGCACAGCCTGGCTGCATCTGGGCAAGGAAGGGAAGGGACTGCATTGCCTCTGTCTGCCACTGCCCTGACACTGGGCAGCACCAAGCTGGTGATCCTGCAAGACCCTGTATCTTGTGTTTTTTCTCCTGCTGCTGGCATCACTGCCTGCCCACTCCTGCACACTCAGTGTGAAGCCTGCTGTGGCCATGGGCTTCAGTCCCAACTGGTGGCAGCTCTCTCCTGCAAATCACCCTGAGTCCTGGCTCCCTGTGTTATCCTGCCCTTCTGCCGTGGAACTGTTTAACTGATAGAAGAAGTTAAATGGGTAATTTTTAAAATTTATAAAACATTTCTATTAGGGATGTATATAAGATTCATGTCAACCGTTTTTAGGTTCTTCCAGTGGCAGTTTCTCACCTGGTGGATTTGCTCAGAAGTCTGCTCCTTCTCAGAAACCAGGCAGTGGTCAGTGGCAAAAGAACAAGCCACAAACTACTGGTTCTTCATGGCAGCCCCAGGCTAAACCCAGTGCCCAGGCTAAGCCCAACTATACAGTGAACTTCAGTGTTATTGGAGGGCGTGAAGAAAGAGGTATTAGAACTCCTTGTTTTGGTAAGTGCTGTTTCCTGAAATTATAGCTATCATTCATTATGTATGAAATTCTTGGGCTATCTCCTACCTACCAGCTTGCCCTTATGGTTTTATGGAAACTGAAAAGAGAATCTCTGAAAGATGACTTTTAGTGCTGTTAAAGACTTTATAGTTGTATGTATTGAATTACCTCTAATAGTAACATGAATTAAATAAGCAGTAGTTTAAAATCCATTTTTCGATTGTCCCTTGTAGTCTCTCCAAACTTGCTAGCAGACATTAACACAACAGGGAAGCCAGCTTGTCAGAATGTGTTCAGTAAATAAGAGTGGGAAATACTCTGGCTCACCTAGTGAGGCAGCTTTATTCTTAAACCACTGACAACATTGCTTGCTCTCAAGCGACCTGAATCCTTGTACTCAGACTTATTAGATGTTTCTTCACATGATTGTGGTTTGGATGGCTTGAAAGTGCTGTCCGAAATGTTTAGACCAGGGGCGGGCAAAATATGGCCTGAAGGCTGCATCTAGCCTGCCAGGCCATTCTATACAGTCTGTAGGGCCCCTACAAATTTTAGAAAATTAATATCCATCTGCCCGGGCTGCCTATCAAAGATGACAAGTCACCAGGGGCAGTAGGATCCAGGGGAAGCTGGTGGCAGGATCCAGCAGCCATAGCAAGGCCAGCCCTGCCCCCCACCCCCAGCTAGAAGCTTCTGCTTAGCACAGGTTTCTGGCCTGGAACCCTGGGGCTGTTCCTGCTTCACTCCACTGGAGAGGGAAACTTGGAGAAGAACAGAGGGAGGGGAGTACCACAGGCAATCAACCCAGTCCTCATGGCTGGGCCAGCTCCCTTGGTCCTGGCACTGCAGCTGGGGAGCCACATGGTGCCAGAGCACATGTGGGGGTGAGGAGAATGGCGGCAGGCAGGGAAGAGGGGAATGGCAATGGCAGGCGGCGGACAAGTGGCAACAAGCGGGTGTGTGGGACCCGTGCCAGTATCCTGGGGCCAGTGCCAGCAGGGGCCCAGAGTGGGGCGGCAAGAGCACAGGGCTTGCACTGGCAGGAGCTCTGGAGCTGGGCCAGGTTGTGCCAGCAGGGAAAGGGGGGAGCTGGCCTGGCTCTAGAGCCCCTGTGGACTTGGGCCTCACGCTTCTGCCACCCCACTCTAGGCCCTGCCGGTGTTGGTCCCAGGCCACTGGCATGGACCTCATTCTCCTGCCTGTGCACCTGCTTGCTGCCAGACCCCCACCTGCTGCTGCCATTTCCCTACTTCCCCTACTTCCCAGCCTGCCACCATTCTCCCCACTGTTCTGGCACCATGTGATTCCCGGCTGCAGCACTGGCCACAGGACTTGGAAGGCGCTAGCCTGGCCCCTGTGATTCTTGGCTGGTTCTGCTGCACTGGCTGGCCTGGGCTAGCTCCTGCTGCATCCTGCTGTCTCAGGCATACTGCTGGGACGTGGTGCTGGAGTGGCAAGCTGGGGGAGATGGGGAAGGGGAAGCGGCAGGAGAAGGGCAATGATGGCAGACGGGAGGGGGAAGTGGTAGCAAGCGGGAGCACAGGGCCCGTGCCAGTGCCAGGAGTGGCGGGAGCACAGAGCCCAGGCTTAGAGGAGCGCTGGCAGGGCCTCTGCCTGCCACAGGGGGAGATCTGGATAAGCTATTATACAATTGCTTCTGTGTACACTACACACACCTAAATCAGGACAAAATATTTTTTGAAATGAAATTAATGTTGTAGTACACGATTGGTTTTTAGACTATAATTTGGTATTTTTCTGGTTCTGAGATGGCAAACCCCCTTGCTGAAAGGAGTACTTCTGAGTGCAAAGGGAGGGACTCTTAGTGACAAAGGTCAGGGGCTGGGGGGTGGGACAGGACTTCCAGTCCCAAGATGGTGACCAGGGGGTGGGGCACCTGTTAAGGGGCGGGGCTACCCTTGTGGCCCTTGATAGCTTGCCAGAATTTGGTAAGCGGCCCTCCACCCAAAATAATTGCCCGCCCCTGGTTTAGACTGAATCTGTAAATCCAAAATATCTCTTTGGGGGAGAGAGAGGCAATGAGGTGATTTTCAGCTCACTTGTCCTGAAGGCAGCCTGCAATACACCTTTGTCCTATTTTTTGTGTAGTATTAATTGCTAGGTTCAATGGCTCTTTCAGAAGGATGTCTTCCCTTTGGTAACAAATTTTATGGTATAGTGATATATCCTAGATTACCCTCCTAGCTTGGGGTCTAGCTGTGGCTGTATGGAGCTAATGTGTGAAGCTTACAGCAAGCTGATTTGCCCTTCTAGAAAGCCTGTGAGGGTCTTGGATGTCCTGTAAAAAAAGGAACAAAATTTAGGGAAATCTAATTCTATCACCTAATCTCTTCACCCCCGCCTCCCAAATTGGTCAGTTTTCCCTACCCATGAACATTGCTATACTGCTGCATTCCTCAAATTGTAGCTGAGAATTATGATCATGTTTGAAACTTTACTTTCAGATGCACTTCATTTTCAGCCATGACTTCCATCTCAGGGCAGTATGCTTACCACCTTTGCCACAGCAGGATGCCCAGTAAATGTCTTTTATCACTTTTTCCCCTTCTGTTGTATAGGACAAAAGCCAAAAGTTTCAGAAAATGATTTTGAGGACCTGTTGTCCAATCAAGGATTTTCAGCTAAATCAGATAGAAAAGGACCAAAGACCATTGCTGAAATGAGAAAGCAAGAAATGTCCAAAGATATGGATCCCCTAAAATTAAAGGTTTGATGTTTTAATAAAGTAACTGTGATTTCAAATGTACTTTTATCCTGTTGTCTCTTAGCAATGTTGATAGTGGAGCAAGGAATACACTGAAGGATGAAACCTTGAGTAGCAGAATAGTGGGAAAAACTAAGGAAAATTTACATATATATCTTTCAGTGGTGGGAAAGAACTTAAAAGGAATTTAACTTTTCATCACATCATTGTATATGCTGATTGATTAGCCTGAGCAAGTATGCTTGAGTGAAATCCTATGTAGGGGAGAGAGAAACTTGTTGAGGACAGAGGGTTTCAGATGCCAGGGCTGGTAAAATCATCAAGTGTGGGTGAAAATTTTAAAGGAACAAAGAGGAATGTTGTGCAGTGGATGTTACTGCACAGGCCACCTCCACCAAAAGAGGTGGTCAGCACTCCTAGAAAGGATTCATAAGAAATGGCTGAAAAAGGAATCCAAAAAGTCCAATTGATAGATGGATGAAAAAAAGAAAGCAGTGAGCAGAAATGCATGAACAGAGTCAAACATGGAATATAGAGCAAGAAGACTGAGGATAAAAAGGTCCCGAGGAACAGAATTACCAATGTAACAACCAAAAACCAACTAAATAGAAGCAATAACCAGTTCCAACATGCTAGACTCTTACTTAAGTTTACATCTAATGTAAGTTTGTTTTGTTGTTTTTTTCTTCACTAAGTAGTAGGAAAAGATCTTTTGGCTTCTGAATAAAAATTCACAAGCCAAAAAGTATCTCTCCAGTTCCCTATGAGCATGAATGTTGTTGACACAGTATAGGATAGGGTCATGGGGCCCACAGGACTGTATCATACGGACATGAGCTTACCCAGTCTTTACACACAGCTGTAGTTTCTCATTTCTTTCCTGCCACATCTTGATGTCAAACTAGTTATTGTTGACAGATATATAGCCGAAGTAAACTCTTAAGAAGTGGGTCCGGATCTTCTTTGGGGCTCCAGCCTCCCTTACACCCCATCCTAGCACCACTCTGTTGTTAACATGTCATTTCCACCCTTGTTCTCTATGGGTCTTCAGTCCAATTTGCAAAGAAAAATGGTGTCTAACTTAAAGATGGAGCAGGACCCAGGCAAGTCTTGTCAAGTAGAATCCTTGCTCCTACACATTGAGCCTGCCAGTCAGGAAGTGGCTCAGTACTGGGCTTGTGGGTCTTACTTCCCTGCCCAACCCTTGTGAAGAAGTTAGTTGGAATAAAGAAGAAAACAGGCAGGCCCTACAGGCCTGCTACCACCTGCAGCTGGGCACTTCTATGTCTGTTCAGGAACGATCTTAGCAGCACCTGCCACCTTCCCTGGTGCATCAGGGTAGTCCTCCCACCCTCCACTATCATGCTTCTAGTGATCCTGAAGCCTGACTCTCTTGCCAGCTATCTGTTGCTGGTAGCAAACCCTCAGCTCCCCCTTCCCTCTGGTTTCTGGGGCTTTAAAGCAATAAAAGAAAAAACCCAAAAGTAAACAATTGCGCAGTGTGCTGCTGGCAGTTCTGATGGCCAGTTCCTCTGGCCCATCTTCCTGTTGGTGTTTACTGCCTTCCCCGTTGCCCCAGCTTCCTTTAAACTGTTGGAGCCCCTCTGGGCTCCTGGGACTCAGTTTTCTCAGCCCCACTCCCTCTGGAGCTGTCCAGCAAGCATTTGTCTCTCTCTCTCCCTCAGCACTGGCAGTGGGCCAGCAAACCCCCATGCTGCCTTGGGCAAGGCAGCACTTGATCCAGCAGCTGCTCATGAACTGGGCTGGTCCCCTCTTGCTCCCCATCATGGGTTCCAGCTGTGCAAGTGATTCTTCCCTCTCTGCAAACTTGGAGGGGTTTGTTTTTATTTCTTTACAAATGCCAGCTACTAATTTTAAGTTATCAGCACTAGTATTAGTAGAAGAAATGGATGATCATTTTGTAACATGAAGATTACCACACTACTTGGCTATAGCTCAAGATGGTATACTGACTGAAATCAAGTCAGTGAATTACTCAAATTGATTCAAATCTAGTGCAAAATGAGAGATCTTTTGTACATAATTTTTAGGAACTTCAGTTTTTGAATGGTTTGCAATTCCTGTAATATCTAAATTAAGAACTACTTACAAGCCAGCTAGCTTTCCAGTGGCAGTTATGAAAGCCAGAGATGACAACCCAACAACAAGGATTGCTAGCTACATGGTCAGCTGATTTAAGAGCACATTTGCAAAGTTCTCTGGAAATTGTTTTCAAACCAATGCAGTTAGGCCAAACTTTATATCCTTGCACAAAGTAATGGGAGAGGAATATTATCTACAAGCAGATTTAAAGTGCCTTTTACCCCAAGTGGTATTCAGTTAACATTTTTTTTTTTTTCTAATTTCTTTCTAGATTCTAGAATGGATTGAGGGAAAGGAGAGAAATATAAGGGCTCTGATATCCACTCTTCACACAGTTCTTTGGGAAGGTGAGAATAGGTGGAAGCCAGTGAGCATAGCTGATCTAGTTACCCCTGAACAAGTAAAGAAGTACTACAGGAGAGCAGTACTTGTAGTTCATCCAGATAAGGTAAGTAATATTGGTTATGTTCAAGGCTATTTCTGAAATAGTTATTGACAATTGGAAATCTACGGTGTTAAAAGGAAAATCAGCAAAGCATACTGATCAGTGACAAACCCATTCAAACACTGCAAACTCTTAATGGGGAAAGGTTTTTATATGGTCTGAGACCAATAGGCTACGTGTAGTAAAACCAAGTTTTAACTTTGTCACTTTGTTTTGGAGAAGTACTTTTCCACTAAACAATTATTTGTGCTGAATTCTGGGGATCTTTCAGATGACAGCATCCAGCCATGGAGGTTAGATGAAAGGAAAAGGTCCCCAGTAGGTGATCTGAACAGTGGTGGCAGCAGTATCTACGTACCACCCTTTCTGTGGCCAATCAGGATTGGAATAGCCTCTTCCCTTTCACAAAGGAGGACTAAGAACTACTTTGACCATTGCTTCACGTTATTTGTTGTTGGACTGTTATCCTGACAAACTGCTTTCACTCTTTTCTCCATATTCTGGATCTTGTCTTCTGAATTTGGCACACTGCTATCCTTGGACAGTACACAGTCTCTCAAATTTACTTTCAGTTTGCACCTTCAAGACACAGACGAAGTATCTCATTTCAGCTGTCGGCAAGAGTATGTACTGATGACACTAGGCAGTTTGCACCTCTCAGGGCCTCAGTTCTAGGCTGTATACATATACAGAAGGGTGAATGCATCTCTCATTGTTCGCTCAGATTTTCAGGCATTTTTTTAACATCCACAGAGGTTAGGATTAAGGAGGTTCCTTTTAAATGAAACTTCAGATGTTGGCACAATCCTGTAGCACGTTTTGCTGTTGGATATATAGGGCCCTTTTTTTTTTTTTTTTAGGCACATCTGAGGCAAATGAGTTAATTGGGAGGGTGCTCTGCCTGCATTGTATCATTATTGTGCAGAAGATTCCTTAGACCTATTTTAGACTGAACTCCGTATTGAGACAGAGCTGTCTATTTTTGTGCAATTAATACTGAAGTTTAGGGGCTTTCTTAGTTGCAAATGGATGTTCCATCAGAAAAACTTGGCTCTAGTGCAGAAGGATTTAACGCCATTCTTGGAAATAACCCTTAACTCTTTTTTCCTGTTGTGCTAATGCAAGAGCTGCCATACAGTAGCTTCTAGAGCAGGGGTGTCAAACTGAATCCAGACTGTAGGGTCGTCTCCCAGGCCAGATTTGTAGGGCCCTGTTGTCTGGCCCTGGTGGCAACTGGGTCCAGGGGTATGCTGCTGCATGGAGTTGTGCTTGTGCAGTGTAGAGCCATAGGCATTTGTAAAAAAAGGAGTTGGGGCATGGGGAGGCACAGAGCTCTAGCCAGGCAGTGGCATGGAGCCATGGATGTGCGGTGGTACAGAGCCAGTGGCAGTGTCGGGAGTATGCGGTAGTGCAGAGCTGAAGGGCAGGGAACTTCTAGTAGCCCACCAGACTACCAGGCCATTGTTTGACACCCCTGTTCTACGGAGATTAAATTTTGAATTTTTAGGAGCTCCCAACTGAAAATGAAAATTGTTGTCTGGCAATTCCTCTAAAATGAGAGACTTGTTTAAGTACAACATCAATTACAGTGAGTAGATTAGATTAAAGATTTGAAATGATACAAGCAAATTCATAAACTGTTGATGCTGTTTAAAATATGACTTTTGAACATATGAAGACTTTCATGGAGGGGGAGGAAGGGAGACGCTTTCTCTTTGGTTGCAAAAAGCTACACATTTATAGCACACTAACAAAGGTAAACATAACGTTTCTGTTATATGAAGTGTGTATCCAATGCACTGGTCCTAAACCAGACAGGAGGGTGAGAGGTTTTTTTTTAATTGGTACAGCAACAACTTTCTTTCAAGCCCTACTTTAGTTCTTAGTGCCTTTGTTTTCAGTCAGCTTCTCATACATTTTCTTGTTCACAGGCCACAGGACAGCCTTATGAACAGTATGCCAAAATGATCTTCATGGAGTTGAGTGATGCATGGTCAGAGTTTGAAAACCAAGGATCAAAATCCCTTTTCTAAAAGTTCACCTTGCTGTGATTTTCAAAACGTATTTGCTACAGAATGGAGTCCAGCACTGGTAGTCTGACCTTACCGTCTCTGGGATTTAGGAAAGATTTTGTTCTGTATGACGTCAGCAGTGTGTGAAATCGTACACTTAAATATGGAGATGCATTTTATAAGACGTAGAATTTAAAGCATTACACATATGCACTAAAAAACCCCAGCTGTTCAGTTCTTCAAAATCATAGCCTGGAAGTAGAGATTTTCATTCAGTTTTAAATATGGTAAAACAAATTTTAATGATGCCCACTGAGATTTGATGTTGGTATCCAAGAATAAGACATTCCAAACCCAGCGATTTTTTTTGTTTTCTTAGAAAATAAGAGACGACCTCAACTTATGGTTCTGTTACTTTCAGTAGTTCTTGTGATTTGAGTTTGATGCTTGCCTATCGCCTTACTCCAAGTGCTTTAGCTCCATCACAGTGAATTTGCTCAGCATATCTTTTCTTGAATCTATGTGAGGTGTACATTTTCATCTGTATGTTGTGTACTCAATCTGATAATCATTCTGTAAATAATTAAAATATTTTCTGATAATACCTGTGTTCCTTACAATGAATTGACAGTTACTTAGCCAAAAAGTTCCCAGTTACGGGAAAGCCCGCCAGGGTGGTTCTTGACTTTTTTTTTTCCATATCATGAATTTGGAAATATATTTTGGCTTTAATATAAGGACTGCATGTTCTGTTTTTTTTGTTATTTATTATGAATTTTTGGAAGGTAATACTTGTGTGATTTAGTGCTTATTTTCCTAATCCTATGAATTGTATGGTTTGCTTGTCTTTTTTTTTTTTTTTTCAGTGGAATGTGCCTTCCATTGGTTTTATATAAATGCTATAATAGAAAAATAGTGTCATTTATTCTGAAACTTGAATTGTGAGCACAAAACAGTTTACTCTGATTTTGTCTGTTTTAACTGAGTAAATGTTACATCATTAGCTGCCTTGGAAAGCATTTACTGTGCTTCCAGATTCCTTTTGTGGCATGTTGAGTAGTTCATTGATTTCTTTTTCTTTTCCCTTTTTTTAAGTGCATGGATATCTGTGTATACAAAAAAACAAACACCCCCTGGTGTATAGTGTATCTCATGCCTGATGTACACTGGCTAGTACAAGACCTGTAGAGAACCTAGCTCGGGAACAAAACTTGCTGCATTATTTATCATCCCTTTTATGAAACTCAGTTAAATGTTAATTCTTCAGTAATGTTGGGATAATCGATTTACAAATTATTAACACCTATTATACAGCATTGTACAACTCCAGACAGCAAATCTCACCTCTGACACGTTTGCAAAAGGTTTTCTGAATGTAATATTTAGGTTTGGTGGCAGTTCTTGAAACTAACACTGTTGCTTTTACCATCAAAGTAACTATAAAGGTATTTTTTATCACTTTGCCATGGTCTTCCATTTTGGTGGTTAACTGAGAGAAGCTGTGGCAAAGTCAAAAGTTGTACTCTTTCACTGAGTAGTGTCCAAACAAAAAAAGCTAGTCAAACCCCCCAAAGTGAATGATATTACATAAAATGAGCTTTTCCACTGCCAAATCCACTTTGCAGCAAGGGGATAGAGATGATTTATGGACACTTTTTTCAACTCGGATATAGCTCAGTTAGTTGTCACCTTTGTGTATATGTATACTCAACTACTGTTAAGTTTTTAACTAGAGGAAAGGTCCGAGGTTATTGGATTCTTACCTGTAGCACAACTCGAAAGTAGACTTCATTTCATTGAATTGCTAGCTTATGAAAGTATATCTGCCTCCCCTGTGGTCTGATACAAGCTAGCATTTGGGTACATCATAGTTTTAAATGGAAGGCCTGCTTTCATGAGGGTTAAGGGCCTCTACATAGGGCAGAAATGTTAACAATAGAAGGACTCTTACACCACCTAATTGCAGGTTTGTAAAGTGCAGGACAAAAGGTAGGCAGATGCAAGGCTCTGTGATGATTGATATCTGGGTTGCACTTTGATATGAAATAAGGAGACATCGATCATAGGATTGATATGAAATAAACAATGCAGTACCGAACAGTGCTGCTTTCTTAAGAGAAGGAAGGAATCCTTATGTTCGGCATGCATTCCAGGGCATTCGGGGACCTATGTATCTTTTTAAAGGGACACAATAAAATGTGGGGTATTTAAAAATGTTGATAGAAGTGAAAACTCAAATTGTGACAACTGGAAAACAAACTTTCACTAATTTCACTAATCTTTTTGTTTGTTTTAAATTACCTTTGAGTGTTTGATAGCACTTTTTATGTGCAGTTGGTTTCACCTGCTTTGCTCACACAGCATTTTGGATAGGTGTTTATGGCATTGAGAGTTAGCCCTCAGGTTTTCTTCCCTTTCAGAAGAATTGATACAGTAACTTGAACACATACAGGAACAGAAGCACACATCATTTTAAAATGTACCTAGATTTCAAGTCTAGTGTTCCTGTAAAGTTACAGAGAATTAGGGAGTATAGTTGTGGATTTTTATGAATGAGCAATTCTGAAACTGAAGATCTGGTAAAGCAAGGGAGTGTTGAGGGAGAGGTGGGAAATAAATAGTATTAGTTTTTCCACCTTCAATTGTTATATTGTATTGCAGAGAATTAATCACCACAAGCATTGGATGAAATGATTCTGGGGTAGGGAATGATCTAGCAAAATAAGGTACAGAACAGATAAAAATGAATTAGTGATTCTTACCAGGGAAACTTGCTTTTTAATTATTAATGGATACAAGATATGTACAGAAGTTTTTAAATTTCACTTAAAACCGCCTCAAAAACCTTCTAAGCTGTATCTCATAGAGTCTCAAGGAAGAACATTTCAGATGACAATTGCTCTGACCACTGACCTGAAACACTTATTGAAGTTGTTTGCTTCAGAAGAGAACGCGGTGATAAAACCACGTAAGGAAGAGTGCAGTGATGCCTACATAATAGTAAAGGCTCAGATTTCATATGCAGTTACTTATCTGGAAAGGTTAAATGCTTATATAAAACTCTCATTAGCAAATTACAGGTAGACATCTTAATAGAAGGGGAACATTTCAGCTACTTCTAATGAAAAGGACCAGCATGGCCTAGCAAATCCAGTGAGAGTTTCTTAAGATGTAATGAAAGGCAGTTGGCTGTTGAGCATGATATGTAGCAATGCCTATCTGACTATGGTTTTTCATGTCATCCAAACCATCACCCTTGTCTCAGCACCTCCCTATCCATAACAAGAAGCTGAAAGAAATTTAGTATAGGGCAGGGTGCAAATTGGTTCATGAGCTAAGATTTACTGGATGTGAAGTGTGAGGGGGAGGAAGAAGTGGGGTAGGGGGTCAAGTTTTGCACTTTAGTCTGATTTTATATTTTTAAATAAACTTTACCCATCTATAATCCACATGGAAATGCAGTTGCCCAGGAGATCCATGGCAGCAGGGTCAGGAAGAGCATCTGGTGGATACAGGTTCATAGAGTAACCTTACATTAGTATGGTCCAGCTGTGCTCTTGGCCTATACACTTTTAAAGTGAAGCAATTCAGTAAGTGGCCTTCATTTTCAAAGGAATGGAGGCCTGTGGTTCTGAAGGAGGCTAGCAGGGTTTGGTTAGGTGATGTCTTTAATATCAGGCTATGTTCACTTAGCTGCCTAGTTTGAGGTGGCTTTGCCTCAAGCACCACCTTTGCAAATAAACTATCAGGTGTTTATAGAACAGTGCACGTCAGAGAAAAGTTGAGGAACACTTGAATACATGTGGTCTGTATGTGGAGCATATGGCTCTTGCTAGTTTGCCAGCAGAAGTTAGATGATGTTACGGAGAGGGAAGTGTTTTTAGATACCAGCATAGTTTCTAAAACACAGCAGAAATGCTATTGTTGGTTTAAATAGTAGGCAAATGAAGTGTATGAGGGTGATTATTAGAAAAGACTAGCCAGAAAGGGACCATTATGCTGGAGGGAAAGGGTAGGATTTGGGGGAAGTGTTTGGGAGAGAGTGATAGCCTAAGTGACCCAAAAGACGCGTTGCAGCCTGAGAGACCTAGCTCTGTCACTTCCTAGTGGCTCACCTACACGCAACTGGCACCTCTTAAATAGCCCAACAGAGAGAGGCAACAGGGAAATAATTAGATCTGCAGTTTTCCCATCTTGGTAGGCAAGCTCACTGAATGCTGTGGTCCATTCAGGCATTAAGAATGCAACATACCCACCCTCCAGCAATGTCGTGTCATCCTCCTCGGCTATGCTCTCCATTCATACTGCAAGTGGCTTCTTCTGACTGTACTGGAGGGCCTGCTGAGTCCTCTGTCATATGCAGAGTGGCTGTAGCAGAATAAAGTGGTCAGGGATTCAACTCTTACTAAATTCAGGAGTGTGAGATTTAAATGATGAAAAAATGGCCTATGGGCAGTGGCAGTAGGGAACCTGGGAGAAGCTTTTACTAGGTTTTAACGTTTATCCATGGCCACATGTTTTATGGACTATTTATTTTCAAGTAAAATATGGACACTCAGACTTGTACAAGAAGCAGTGTTTACCCATAGGAGAGCACTATATAAACCTGTTCCCTTCAGCCTTTAAACCCTGATCCACAGCCTCTTGAATTGAGATGAATTAATATCATGTGAGAGTGATATAAATCTTTACAAATAAAAGGAAAACAGCTCTTCTGCAAAGGCTTGAAAGTTTAAATGGAGTGGATGGACTGTGCCAAATGGAAAAAAGCAAGCAAGTGAGAAAATGTAGCCCATGGCAGATCTATGAGCTTCTGACTACTAATGAGATCAAGCGGCAGAAGGAACATCTTGTTCTCTGCACAGCTTGGGGAGGAGTAAATGCAAGATGTCATTCCCAGGTCTTAGCTGTGTTGTACCTTAGTGCACTCCATCCCGTTTTCTTTTTAATTCTTGGTTTGCATAAGAGCAGGCTCCAAATCTGGGAAGTATTAATTGCAAGGGCTGTACTTAAATTGATTGGGAGATGCAGTGCTGCTTGATTAACCAACTCATCACATCGGCTGTGTGGGTTTTGAAGCACACTGAACAAGTGCATTTTATCTTTTTGCCTGTTAACTAACTGCCTATTTAAAGTGACCTCCAGCATAGGTTGCTGGAGTAGCTAGACCTTCCCTTATTGATTCCACTGTTTCTCTCCCTTTTTTCCCCTCTTAGCATTTCATGCTAATGCCTTTTAGTCTTTCAGGTAAATAAAATGGTTGTCAATCAAAAATTGACCAATCAAAAATCCATAGATTTTAAGTTCTCTGTTCATAGCAGTATCTGTAGTGCATTGCTATCAAAATCTGCAGACTTAAAAAAAACAAAACACACACACACACACACACACACACACACACACACACACACACACACACACACAGCAAATTTGAAGGGAGCAATGGCTTTTGGGATTTGAAACAAATAACTGTTGCCTTGGAAGTGAGAGATCCATAGGAGAAAAGTCAGAATTAAACTTGCCTTATGCCACCATAAGAAAACGGGTCAAGAGTAAAATATTGAACCTATGCACGCACAGGTGTGTCCCCAAGGGTGTGGAGTTCAAAATGATTCAGTGCATGTTGAGCATCATCTGCAAAAGGAAAAATGAAGTAGTACCACTTGACAGGCTGCTTGTGTGGTGAAGGGAGGGAAGAAGTAATCTGCCTTTCTTTAACTTTCAAGTATGTCAGATATGTCAAGTTTGACCTTGCATGGTTTTTGCAGAATACAGTATATTTACATTTTCACCCCCTGGTAACCATATTAAATTGTTAACAAATCTCTTCTCCCAAGCAGGTATTTAGATACAGACTTAAGTAGGTGAACCAAGGAACAGTTGCATAAAAAAGTCCATCTGTTTTCCCACGTTGACAAGTTAAATTGACACCTCAGATATAGCAAAAAGGAGGTAGGCAAGACCTAGACTCATCGTAATTCAAACTGATCAGCCTGAGGAGTAGCCAGGAACATTTTCAAGCCTGCTTTATTCATCCACAGGACTGGCAGGTTTTCCTTTGCACCTTATTTAAGAAAAAAGAATGAACTGCCACTGTTTTAATGCTTACTAGCTAGATGTCTTGGTTACCTCAGTCATTCCCTGTCCAGGTAGTGTGTGTTTAAAATTCTTACGACAAGCAGAATGCGAGTCCTTTTCCAAATGCAGAATGTGCTTGCTTACTGCTCTGTGCTAAGGATTAATGTTTTGCACAAATAAGTAGGGCCTGACTCACTGAGATGCTGAAATCCCCACTCCATTTAAAGTTGTTGGGATGACTGAATGCTCAGTGTCTCAAGATCAAGCTTTTGCTTTCTCCCCCCCCCCTCCCCAGCCTATGGCAATATAGGTCTATGTTATCAGTAACCATCACTTCATTTGCTGCTCCTGAAAAGTATTTCAGGGTTCTTATGAGTGGTTACTTATTCATCTTTTTAGCACTGTACTTAATTTTCCAGATATAGCTGCATCATGAATACTTTAATATTGTAAATAGTTAAATCCATAAAATTCTGCCCTGCATCTTTTTAAAGGGTTGACCAATCCCTTTCTGTCAACAGTGTGCAAGTAGTAATCTGCCAGAATACAAGAGCAGACAAGTTTCCACAGTTTCAGCCTTCTCCAGTGCAGAATTCTTTTAATTACCAGAGATACAGTATTTGGAGGATGTTTAGTTTATGGTCATAAGGTACTGAAAATAGTATACTGAAATCAGCAGAACGTAAGTGAGCTATGGTTCTCATCTTTGTGGATCTTGTTAAATTTGCTTATCCCTTGCTGTGGCTAAGCTTATTGCCAGGCGGGTGGTTATACTGCTCCGGATGTTAAAACCAACACTCCAGAAATACAAAAGAAACTGTTTTTATGAAGGATGCATTTTGAGAACAGCTTTTTGATAGTATTACAAAAGCAGGATCGAGAGGCATTGTAAGCACTTCTAGAAACTTTGTTAGTTGTATGTACTGTATATTTGCAATTTAGTGTTCTGGAAGTGAATGTCTAAGTGGTGAAGATCTAGCACAATGAGATACTTCCTGTAATTTCATGTAGTTGCTCTGTTGTACTTTCTATATTTGTGACTTCCTTCAGAGAGTGGAAGGACAGAAGGGAAATTTGAGCCTTATTTTTGGCATAGTTCATCAGGAAATGCAATGTACTGAAGAATTTTGCTACTAGTGAAATGAAAATCTTTACATGTATGTATATAAAGGAAGCATAGTTTAAAATTTTAAACCTTGTAAACAAATTAATAGACTGATATTTGGCACAATGTCCTCAAACAAACAAGATTTTGCTTTGAAATGTATCAGTTTAATCAGTGATCAATTAAAACAAATCAAACAATTTCTGTCTGTTTCTTTCTTTAATAAAGGAGCAATGAATTAAAACAACTGAACATTAAAACCTTATTTCCACAGGCACTTTGATGTATGGCTCATTATGCATTTGCAAATGGCCTTCTACTTAGTGTTCTGTAGATGGGTAAGGCTCATGCACCATGGTCTGCTATTGCCTAGGACTCTCACCAGTTATACCTCTGAAGGAAGTAAAACTTTTACCTCTGATGCTTGAGGTTTTGGCCCTGCAGGCCAGATGAATGGCACAGATCCAGTCCATGGGCCAGATTGGGTCCTGCGCTGCCCTAGCACACAGACCATGGCCTGCAGTACTCCCTGCATAAAGCAGGTTGAGCACCCCTGCTTCATCTTAATCCGTGAGGCAGGATCAGATCTGAGGAGCAAGATGTTAGAAATACTCTTGATTGACACTTACATGTGAAGCTGTGAAAGGAAAAGGAGGCAAAACTACAAGGCTGTTTTTAGAACAGATTGCATCCTTTGATGTGTAACCCTGAAGCAGGGGCCTCTGTGCCCAGTCTCTCTCTGAAGTCTGACTTGAAACATCAGCTCCGGTAATGAACCTCTTCTCGATGGACCTTGCTTGCCTCAAAGTTAAGGAAGGAAAGAGGCGCCTTTTTCCCAGGTCTGACTGACTTGTCTCCCAAGGACAAGGAGCTGCCATCAACATCAGTGGAAGTCTCTACCTAACAGGGTAATTAGGAGAAGCACACTAGGGTCAGGTGGGCAGGATTGTTGCAGAGGTGGACAGGGTGCTTCATCAAGCTGGGGAAGGCTGCCTTATTTTAACCTTCTGGCTGATGATTCCCAGCACTCAAAGGAGCAATTTTGGCCCTGTAGAAATCTTGAGCTAGGAGGAAACAGGTTCCTTCTAGCAGTGTCTGCAGGACACAAACTGGGCATGTGCCAGGGGAAGCATGCTGATTAGGAGACTCTAAGAAATACTTCTGGTCTAACCTTGTTTCTTCTATTTCTAATTTAGATCACCTGGCCTTGAAATGACCCTTCCCATTGGGTGAATCCTAGCTGCCAATTTGCTTCCTGATTCCAGGTTCCCCTTGCCAGCCCGACTGGATGGAATGGGGTATGCCAGCACTCAAGTAGGTAGAAACTTGAATACTTACGGGAGATATTTATTTATCTTCTTGAGTATTAACACAATGTTTTGATGACAAGCAAAGAGGAAATAACAGGAATGAAGACCTGAGACAGCAGAGAGATAATAGCGAAGAGGGGCCATATGTCCGTGTGAAAGCTGCGGGCATTTCCCTGTTTCTTCCTAAAAGGGCCAACTAGAAAAAGGCAGGCAGTGCCAAAATGGCAGAGAGGATGGGTGAAGGGAAAATAGCTGTAAATGGCAAAGAAAGGGTGTGTTATATATCGGGCCAAAATGCCATGTTCCAAAACACTTGAGTCATGTGATCTCCGTGTTTCAGGATAACTAGAGGTCCACAAGTGCTGCATCAAGATCTGGTCGCTCTTTAAGAGCACAGCAGTTTGGTTACCAACAGGTACCCTTGTCTGGAAGATAAGAGCTTCACTGCAGATTAGGAATTTGCTCAGTCTGATCATCTGTGGTAATCAAGTGAACATGCAGGTCTCAAGTCATGGTGGGGAGCCCTCACAGCAGCATCACTGCTTCACATTTGGGTTTGGCATTTGTAGAGTGGGAGCAGGAAGACAGGGATATGCTTCCCACCATCCTTCTAAGGAGCACTGTGACAGTGGGATTAGATGTGACCTTAGAATCACCGCTCACGTTTCCCTCTCTTTCCTCTCCTTTCTATTCCATCATTCCAACTGTTCTGACTTCTACCTGCTTCCTTCTCTTCTGGAGAAAGGAAATGAAGCTATTTGTGGGCAATGACATAGGATATTCTGACTATGTTATGGGTTTGTTGTATGTCTTGTACTTTTTCTTCTTAAAGCTAGGAAGAGAAGCTGGTAGTTTAGAGAGATAAAAACAATTGATCCTCTTTTCTAGATCCAACGGTCTCCTGTTTGGGTGTTAATGAACTAATTTGACTCTTAATCCCTCTCCACAAGGAAGTTGGATGAGAATGCAGGAAACTTTGAGAGGAGAGTTTTCTCCAATCCAGAAATTAATTCCTGACTAGGGAGAAGATTGTCCAAAACTCTTTCTTCCAATTTCTGTGCACAATACTTACCCTGGCCAACCTTGCAGACAGACAAATTATGTATTACAACACAACAGGAGATGTTTTGTTTTGCAAAAACAGTAAAATATTTAGGTCATAAGAATCCCATGGCGTATGCTATAATGGCTCCCATGTCATAAAGTAATGAAAATAGAAGGGAAAAGAAGAATGTGGAGAGAGATTTTCCTTCTTCCTCTTCTTTACCAGTTTTAAAGAATTTTTGGGATTTTAATTTCCCAATTCCACATGAAAATTCAAATGTCTCTGATTCTGCTTCAGGACAAACTTAAATTTTGAAGCATAGCAGTTCCACAAGTTGGAAATTCTGGTTCAGCTAGTTCTGGAGTTGAGTAATGCTAAGAAGATTCAGTTCTGGGCTTTTTTCTTCAAACCAAGCAGCTGCAGCTCCTCCAGCGAGCACACTGATAACTCTGGAGCCTGTGGACTCCTAGGCTGATAGCAACCCCTAGCACATGGAAGGAGACACCCAGGCTGCTGGGAACAAGCAGGGGTTGTGAATCCACTGAATCCAGTCACTCTCAGTATTATTGGGAAGGGGATCCCTGCTAAGGCAAGCAGCCTGAGACATGATCTCTGTGATCCCCATGTTATGGCACAGCAGCACCCAACAGCCAGGGTCTTGTGGAAGGAGAGGCCATGGTCATTTGAGCTGTGCACCCTCCTGGTGGGTAGGCACCTCTTAGGGAGGCTGGGACAGTCCTTTCTGCTGTCAGCCTCAGGGGCCCTGAGATGGATGAGAGTGGGATGTGGTGGGAAGGGATAGTGCAGCGCTCCATCCCGGGAACCCTGTCATGGGAGAACACTACATGAAAACCCTCTGTACCTCCTCCTTCCTCCCAGTAGCCCC